CAAAGCTGAGAAAGAAAGAACTGAGACTCTTTTTCAAGGACATTGCTGTTTGATAAGATAGTGGGAAGAGCATGGGAGAGTATTATTGCAGGTGCTCTTCTAGGTTTCTATCAACAGCTGGAGTCGTGTTAAAATGTAGGGGGGGAAAAAGGTGATAAGTTTTTGGAGAAGAGAGCGATAATAAGAGCCTTGGATAATTAAATAAAGTGCAGTGTGCCCTTTTTACTTTTCCTAAGTTGTGCTATCCCTCCTCACCAGCTTTATTGTATTTTTTTAAAATCTTTTTTTGTAATAACTATTAAACAGAAATATTAGAGATGAAAAGAATATAAAAGGAATGAAAATCAAAAAGGAAGAATTTAAGCTGCAAGCATTTGCGGATGATCTGGTTTTCATTTTAGAAGACCCTTTAGAAACAGCATCAAAATTGATAGAAAAGATAGAGACATATGGAAAGGTGGCTGGTTTGAAAATAAATAAAGACAAAGATTTTGACAAAGAATATGCTATTAAGACAAAAGGAAGAACTGGCAGACCTATTGGAAATTCAAGTCACGAATAAGATCAAGTACTTGGGGATATATTTGACAGCAAGAAGCAGTACATTAAAAGAGAATAATTATATTAAACTTAAACAGCAGATAGCGCTAGATTTGGCGAAATGGGAAAACTTACAACTCTCACTAATAGGGAGAATCTCAACAATCAAGATGAATATATTACCCAGAATTTTATATTTGTTTCAAACAATTCCAATTAGGCTTGGAAAAGACTACTTTGAAGTTTTAAATAAAATTGTGTTGAAATATATATGGCAAGGTAAAAAAGCAAGAATAAAGTTAAAACTTTTGCAAGATGCTAGAATTAGAGGATTTGGTTTGCCTAATTGGGAATTGTACTACCAAGCTACAAATCTGATGTGGGTTAAGGAATGGATAACACTAAGAAATGCTAGATTGTTGACATTAGAAGGACATGATTTGTTGTTGGGGTGGCATGCTTTTTTATGGTACAAAGGAACTAAAACACAGGGGTATTTTAGAAGACATTATATACGGGAGTCTCTGTGGTTAAACTGGGAGAAGATTAAAAGACAATGTTATTTGAAAATTCCAGTCTGGTTATCGACTATTGAAGCATTCTCGTATCCTATAATATACAAAAAGGAACAAACAGTTAGATATGGTGAAATACTGAATGAAAAGGGTGAACTTAAATCTATGCAAAAACTAGAGGAACAAGGTATAAAGATGAATTGGTTTTCATATGCTCAAATACATTCAAGGTATGATAAAGATTCTAAAACAGAAGGCTTCTATGATAAACTGACTGATTTAGATAAGATTTTGACAGGTACTGATGAAAAGGTGATTAAAAAATTGTATGGATATCTATTAGAAATTAAACTAGAAGAAGAACAAGTTAAAAAAACTATGATTGCTTGGGGGAATTTTGGATATGGGATTGATTTAGAGAAATGGCAAAAATTGTGGTCTCAGAATTATAAAATGACAATGTCAACAGCATATAAAGAAAATTTGTATAAGATGTTTTACAGGTGGCATTTCCCCCCGACAAGAATAGCAAGAATGTTCAAGAATAAATCCGAAAAATGTTGGAAATGTCATCAGACACCTGGCTCATATTACCATATGTGGTGGACTTGTGTAGATGCTAAAAAATACTGGACTAAAATCCACATGTGGTTGGAAAAAATGACAAAAAAACATATAGACTTGAAACCAGAGATATTTTTATTGGGAATTTTACCTGAAATATATAGTAAAGACTTGAAATACCTGATTGTAAATGTATTAACAGCGGCTAGGATTGTATTTGCTAAAAACTGGAAAAATGAGAAAATACCATCACAAGAGGAAATCTTTAAGAAAATATTGGAATGTGCTGAAATGAGTAGATTGACATTTGAAATTAGAGAACAAGAGGATAAACAATTTTATAAAATTTGGGATCTTTTCTATCAATGGTTAGACAATAAAGTACAGTAATGAAATATGTAGATTTTTAGAAAATAATAAATATATAAAGATGTACTTCTTTCTTATTATAACTATAAAATGATTTTAAGATAGATTTGGGATGATAATATGAACTGTTATAAAATAAATTAAGTAAATTATGGTTATCTTGTAAAACATGAATGAATAAAAGTATAGTCAAATGACTGATTAATAATGATACTAAGGTATTTAATTTTTGATTGACAATATGAGATTATATGTAATGTAATTGTAATTGAAGACTACGAAATGGAAGCACAAAACAATTTGTAAACCAACCGGCACACTGTATGTACGCCTATGGAAGATAGCTTGATGTTTTTATGTTCTATTTGTTTATGTTTGTTTTTAAAAACCAATAAAATTTTTTAAAAAGATTTCTTTTCAAAGGATATTGTGAGATAGTGAATAGTGAGAATTTTAAAGAAGTTATTTCAAGTTTAAAAATAGACTTTAGGAACCTCTACCCATAACCCTGGATTTTCCCAGGTCACCACTGACCCCATAGCTAATACTCTAGCTGAAAACGTGAATTACCAGCGGATAATAAAGAGATAAAATTCTGTCTCTTGAAGTCAGGCAGAACTATCAGATTTCAGCTGAACTTGACACAGAAATAGGTTTGGCAATACCCCCCACCCCCTTCAAATGTCATTAGAAACCAGTTATGCCATGAGGGAAACTGACTACAGACCGAGCATAGGTGGCAGGACCTGAATCGGTCTTGTCCAAATCCCAGAGTGTGTGAGGGGCCATCAGATAAAACAGATCCTGCAGCCTTTAAAACCTCCCTTGCTGGACCAAAAAGAGGAAGATCTCATGAAATGGTTGCAAGAGCAACCGAAACCCACATTTCAAAATTCATTAAAAACTCAAGAGGAGAAAGCTTGTCTTCCTTGTGTGTCCAGTCACACCTGGCCAACAAAGAATTCTGTTCTGTTCTGTTCTGTTCTATGCTTTGCTATTCTATTCCATTCCATATTTTCTATTGTATTCTATTGTATTCTTCTATTCTATTCTATTCTGTTCTGTTCTATGCTATGCTATTCTATTCCATTCCATATTTTCTATTGTATTGTATTGTATTGTATTGTATTGTATTCTATTCTATTCTGTTCTATGCTATGCTATGCTATTCTACTCCATTCCATATTTTCTATTGTATTCTATTATATTCTTCTATTCTATTCTGTTCTATTCTGTTCTGCTCTATGCTATGCTATTCTATTCCATTCCATATTTTCTATTCTATTCTATTCTATTCTATTCTATTCTATTCTATTCTATTCTATTCTATTCTATTCTATCCTTCTATTCCATTCCATTCCATTCCATTCCATTCCATTCCATTCCATTCCATTCTATTCTTAGTATTGTATTGAATTCTAATTCTATTTTATTCTATTCTAATTCTAATTCTATTCTAATTTATTCCTATTCCTCAGGCCAAGGGAGGAGAAGGGGCTCAGGGGAGGCACAGAAAGACACCCCTGCCAATCTGGCCAAGATGGGAGGAGCGTTGTGGAGAAGCAGCTCCGGGAGACGCAGCAACCCCACCTGGCAAAGGACCCCAAACAGGCCAGGAGCGCTTTGGACAGGCAGGGATCCCCCCCCCCCCCCCCCCCGGCCTTGGTGCAGATCCAGCCAACAAAAAAAAAAAAAGGCCGAGGAGCTCCAAAGAGAAGCCCGTTTCTCTTCTTTCTGAAGGAGGGAAGGTTCTGCTTCTGTGAGAAGCCCGACTTTCCTCTCCGGAGCAGGCGCGGCCCATCACCCCGTGCCCCTCTTGGCCCACTGCTCTCTCCCTCGGGGTGGGGGGGGGGCGGGCGGCTCAAGACCCCAGGCGGCCTCAGCCTTCCCTGGGAGGCTGGCCTTCCCCAGCTGCCTGAAACCCTCATCCTGGGAACGGAAATGCGGATACCTGAAACGGAGACCCATGAAATTGGGGGTGGGTGGGTGGGAAAGGCAGGGCCCCGCTGGAGGGGTGGGCGACGGCAGCAGCTGCTGGCAGGTCAAGCAGCGGGACCCTCCTGCTCCCCCGGCGGCACAGAGAGAGCCTGTGAGGGCAAGGGGCTGCTCCTTCCCAGGCCAGCTGGGTTCACCTGGAAGGCGGCGGCGGCAGAGGCAGTGAAGGGGCTGCTCTTTGGGCAAAGCCCCCCCCCCCCGGAGGGGATTAGAAGGGCGGCAAGTGTTCCTGGCCCCGGGCAGAAGGATTTCCCCAGGAGGAAAAAAGCAGCACGGCTGGGCAGGAGGTTAGTTCCGCCAGGGAAGAGGAAAGCTGGCAGCAAGGAAAGACTCGGGAGCAACGGAGGCGCTCAAACGGGCACAGAGGGAGAAACACGCATCCAAGCCACAGGACAGAAAGATGGCGGGCGGGGGGGGGGGGGGGCCAAGCCACAGGACAGGAGAGGCAGGAGCGAAAGAGGAAGCCCCAGCAGAGAGGCCCAAAGGAGAGGAGGGGCGGAGGGCAGAGCCGCTTCCAAGCCCCTGTATCTGGGAAGGGAATGATGGTCCCTGTCACCAGAGGACCAGGTGTGTCCACAAGGGAGGGCCCAGATTCTGACCAGGCCTGGGGCCAGACGGCCTCAGCCTTGGGTGGGAGGACCAGCAGCCCTGAAGGGGAGAGGGGGGGGGGGGGGGGGGAAGCCACGCAGGACACGGACAAGTCTTTTCTTAGGTTTATTGTGAACGGTATAAAAATAAGGCAACCGACATCAGTTCCTGAGCAGGCTGAGGAGACGGGGCGGGCCGGCCGGCCGGGCGAAGGGGCCCCCCCTCAATGAAGGCCCGAGGAAAGTCCCCTTTGGGGCGCAGGTGAGGAAGGAGCCCCGGAGCGCAAGGATTTGCGGGGCTGGAGGAGCAGAGGCCTCCCCAACAAGGGAGGAGACGTGGCTCGAGGCAGGGGGGCAGGGGAGCCACCGTCTCCCCTTTGGGTCCCCCAGGTCTGTCTCTGCTCCCACTCAAGAGGGTGGAGGGGAGGCTGATCCTGCAAATCAGGGGTGGAAGTTGAACCCCCTTCAACCTCTCCACGGACTGCCTCACCCCCAGAGCAGAACCGCGTCCTGGCCTGGACCCTCCGCTCTGGACTGGCAGCTCCTGACTACGGGAGAGGGCCAGATCAGCCCCGAAAGCAGACCGGGCCGGGCCGGGCTTCAGAGAAAGCAGAGGGGTGGTGGTGGCCATGTTGCCCGGTCCCCTCTGGGGATGCCTTCAAGAGCCTCCCCTTTCTCCACAGCTCCCGGGGCCCCCCACCTGGGCCCCCCAAGACGGTCCGCGCAAGCCTTGACGTCCGCCCAGTCTTCACACACAGGAGGAGAAGCCGTAGCGGGGGGCTGCCTTGGAGGGGGCCGCAGTGGCGTGCGCAGGGTGCTTCAGCTGCAGAACGAGCTTGCATCCTTCCACTTCCGCCCCCTGGGAGAAAGGCAAGAGGAAGCTCTGGTGATGGGAGGACCGGACGGCCGCTTGGAAATGCAGTCGCCTCCCTATGAAGGGCCCGTCCTCTGTGCAGGACGCTCCCCTTCTCTGTCCCTTTCCCTACTAGGACACCCCCAGATTGCTCGCCACGCCCACTCCGGAGCCCCATCCCCGCGTGCTTCCATAAAACAGGGGAAGAGCCACCCTCCTCCCTGCTGTTGTGCACATCCTCCGACTGCATCTTCCGTTGCCTGGACCAGCTGGTCAAGCCGGCCATGAACAGGCCAGCGGCCACCAAGAGAAGTTGCCGGCCTCGGGACACTCCCCTCCCACCCCACCCCGCACCGCGGTTCCCATCCAGCTGCCCTGACATCAGTGAGGCCGCCCCACTTTGGCTCTTGGCCTTCTCATCACCCGGGAGCCGAAAGGCCGAGGGCCACAGCCGGTTCCTCTGCAGGCGGGCCCTCCAACCCGCTGCCGGAGGCCCAGGGGGACCTGGGTGTGGATACGTCATCAATGCCCACCTCTCCACCTCAGGGCCAGGGGAGGGAGGGAGGGAGGGAGGGAGCCGCACCTGCAGGGCCACATAAGCAGCTTCGGCGGCCTCCTTGTGGCTGTAGTTGACGAAGGCACAGGACTTGTGAGGGAGGCAGCGGATGGAGTCAATGGGTCCAAACCTGCCCCAGGAGAAAGTTGGGTGTCAAAGTTGGTCTTGCCCTAGCGGCCCCCTTACTTCCATGGGGTGCCTACTGGTCACCAGAAGGGAGGGGGGGGATAAGGAGGGAAGGAGCCACAAGCCCCCCAGATCCATTCCCCCCCACACACACACAAGAGCAGACCAACTTACGGCTGAAAATAGCGAAGCAGGACGTGCTGGGTGATCCTGGGCGCCAGGTTCCCCACCCAGACGGCAAACCAGTCTCTGCAAGGGAACATGTGGGATCACATGCCTCAGGAACAGGAGGCCCCACCCGAGCCTCCAACGACCACTAGGCCGCTCTACCCTCACCCAGTTCCAATGGGACCCCTGCCTCAAAAGGTCTGAGGAATGCATCGGACCAGCCCACCTGCTCCGGGGCAGCAGCCATCACGAGGGCAGAGCCGCTGCAGCTGAGCCAATAACCCACCCCTCCCGAGGAAGCAGCGTTGGGAGGGGCTCCCTTTTCCTCCTCCCCCAACCCCCCCCTCCCCGTCCTTGGCAGTTTGGGAGGGGCAGCTGGCAGACTCTGGGTTGGCGGACCAGCTGCAGCACTCTCTGGATTTGACAGTGGCGATCCACCTCTCTGCTGTGGAGCTGGGCCTGGGACGATCCAGCCTTGCCTGCCCCGGGGCCTTTCTGGGTCTTCGTTGCTGCACCTCTGGGACTGCAGGCTTGCCTCAGTGCTAGGAATCCCCCCCCCCCCCGGGGGACAGGGAGGCCAGTTGCGCAGCTGCTGAGTTTATGGAAGGAAGGGGCGTAGACCCAGCCGTGCATAAGGTCCCTTGAGCAGCAGAAATGGCCCAAAAGAGAGAGAGAGACCGGCCTGGGGAGGCCTAGAGAAGAGTCTACGCAAAGAGCCGGAAGGAGGCAGGGAGCTGTTGAGAAGGAACAGCGGAACGGACACAGATTCTTCCTGGAGGTAAATCAACCGTTCGTTGTGCTTGGACCCTGGACGAACGTTGGGCTCTAATTTTGCTGTTTTAGATCAGGGGGGTCCCCAAACTTGGCAACTGGTGGACTTCAACTCGCAGAATTCTCCAGCCAGCACGACAGCCGTGTTGTGGCCCTAAAACAGAGGTCTCCAAACTCGGCGACTTTTAAGACGTGTAGACTTCAACTCCCAGAATTCTCCAGCTAGCAGAGCAGAGCATAACCATAGCAGGCTGGAGAATTCTGGGAGTTGAAGTCCACACCTCTTAAAGTTGCTGAGTTTGGAGACCTCTGCTTTAGCTTCGCTCTTTTAAGAGTCAGTCTGTGCCCCCTCCCCCAAACTGACCCTGACCCTGCTGGGGCTGCCTCAGCTCACGTGCAGGGAAGAAACTCAAAATCTTCCGGTAAGACGCTTCCTCCCGCTTTCCAGGGCTTCCTGCTCCTCACCTGCCTGGGGCCTTTGCAACTGGAGGTGCCAGCCGGGTGGTGGCAATGGCCTGGGCACTGCTGTCTGGGTACCGCTGCCCGCCTGGCTGCTTTCCTTGACCGGCAGGGAGAAAAAAAGAGCGACAGGTGAGGAGGGCCAGCGACGGCATGGTCTCTCTGTACACCTGCCAGGCAGCCACTGTCCACCTGTGCCCATCATTGGGGTTAGAACTGACCAGGCACTGACCTCCTGAGCTCCAATCCCCCCCCCCAAACTACTTACCAGGCAGAGGCAGCTGTGTTTCCCAGTTACGGCGGAAGCAGTACAGCCGGCTCTCCTGCCAAAGAAAGGGGACCGGCTGAGTCTCGGCCAGTAGCGCAGCAGTCCTGGCCGGCTCTTTCACACAAGGCGCCATTCTCTCCCCGGATGAAACCAACCACCGCCACAAGCGAAAGATGTTATCAGTGGGATTGGGTGTGTGTGTGTGTGCGTGTCCGGAGAAGCCAGCTGTTCTCCTGATGCCGCCACAATAGGATGTGACGGTCTGCACGTCAGGTGAAGCTGGCCATTCACGCATCATACACGTTGCACTGCTCGGCATGCTGGGTTGATAGCAGTATTGTTAAGCCCAGCAGGGCTTGTCTGCTCGGGGCAGAGACCCACAAACTGTGGCTTGAAGGCAGTCCAAAGTGGCTTATTGGCCGAGCCAGGGAAACGATCCCACTGACCGCTCTGAGAGATCTCTTGGGGGGAGGGGGTTTTCCTCCGCTGCCCACGTTAGGAAGGCAGGAGAGAAAACCAGGCGCCGGAGCCACCAGCTAAGGGGGCCAGGAGGCCTCCTCAGAGGATGCAGGGGAGGCTCCCCTCCAAGGGGTGCAGAGAGCATCCGTTAAGGGGAACAGAAAGGGCGCGCTGAGAGGGTGGCTCGCCCCCTCAAGGCCTCCTCCCGGCCAACCGGCCCTTTTTCCTCCACCGAAGCCAAGCACACAGGTTTGTCTCACGGGCCAAACGCCCGCCTGGCTTGGGCCAAACCGTCCAGGCAAGCCTGCAGGGGAATGACCCGGCTTGACCTCAAGAGCCCAGCTAGGAAAGGAAGCCCCCTCGCCTCTCCTCGCTCACCAGGGAATGCTGGATCTGGCACTTCTGGAGCTGGATGGCGGCATCGCCGCGGAAGCCATCGAAGGGCAGGAGCTGCTGGAAGGTCCTTGCCGCCTCTGCGTATTGCTGGGGATTGGGGGGGGGGGGAAACAGACAGGAGAGAGTCGCCCGGGGTCCCCCAGGGCCCTCCCCGCCCTGCCCTGCCCCTCTAGATTACCTTGAGGCCTAGGAGCGCCTTGCCCTGGCGAAAGAGGCCTCTGGGCCAGCCCGGCTGCAGGCTCAGGGCCTGTTGCGCATCCCGCAGGGCTGCTGCGTGGCTCTGCAGCTTCTCGTAGCAGAAGGAGCGGTTCCCGAAGAACCTGGGGGCAGGAGGAGGGGCAGAGGTCAGGCAGGCGCTCTTCCTCCCAGGGAGCCCTGTCTGTGGCCACTTACCCGCAGCCGGTATCGCCAGCGGAAAAATTTGCATCGCACACACACACACACACACACACACACACACACAGGTGGCATGGAACTTTCCAAAGCCCACTCCAGGCAGAACTTGCTTCTCCCCCAGGCAGCCCTGGGGCTCAAGGCCGGGAGCAGAATCCAGCCAAAAATGATCCGGTCCCTTCCTCTCCCTCTTAAGATCAGCTCAGGGCTACCTTCCAAACGCTCGACGCAGTCCCCAAAGCCCCCGAGGCCCAGGGCCTGGGGAAGGGAGCCCAGCGTTCGCTCTCCCCCCAAGGACCCAGGTGTGAAGGCTCGGAAGACACCACCTGGCTGTGCAATGGGACCCTCTGGGGCCCCTGGGGCCCATCTCTCTCCCTCAGTCCTGCCTCCAGCACGAGGTTCTTGTGGAAAGAAACGAGGAACGGCAGTGCCGGGGGCACGGATTCCTTTGGGGAAGGAAGGAGGGCCAAAGAGCAGCACCTCAAGCTTTGCCCCCTTGTTCCGGGGTGCTCAGGACAGGGTCCAACCCAGCCGTCGTGCGGATTCGGCTCAGCTTCTCTGCCTCCACAGCTGCCTTCTGCGCTGGAGGGGAACATCCATGCCCTTGGCCGCTGACCTTGGCCACCCAGGACAGGGATGGGGCAACTTGACAGCACAAAATGAAGCGAGGGATGGCAGGGCGCTCGAGTGGCAGCCGCTAAGCCCTCCCCTCACATCCGACCCTAGCAAGCAAAGCATTCCCCCACATTGTCAGGAAAGGTGCCAGCCCATTTCTCTTGGAGCAAGCCGCTCGCTTCCAAGGAGAGCAAAGGGCTGCAAGCCGCCTCTCAAAAGCCCCCCCCCCCCCCCCGTGCCTCTGAACCACACACCACCACCCCCGCCAGCAAAAAGCCAGGCCGGTGACTGACATGCCCCATTTGAAGGACCAACAGGGATGGAACCGTGACATGGAAGAGAAACCTCCAGGCGCCCGCTGGGGCTGTGCAGTCCCTTCCAACCTTCCTGACAACATTTCTCCAGGATTGCCCCCACCTGCCCACCCCTCTGAGTTTCTGCCACCCCCAGCCTGTCTCGTCCATGAGAGATCCAGCTGCCTTGTTTTCAGCTGCCCTCTTTGTTGGTTGCCTTCAACCTCTGGGACCCTTTCCTGTTGCTCTCTGGGAGGGGGGGGGCAGCCATGTGATGTTAGGCGTTTCTGCCACTTCAGAATCCAGCTTGCCCGCCCGGTGGTTCTGTGGCCTGCAAACCTTGATCTCAGCAGAACTGGAGATGAATGCCCCTCACCCATTAGCACAGTGATGGCTAACCTTTTCAGCTTGGTGTGTCAAAAATCGGGAAAAAGTGTAGCCTTCCTCGGGTCGTGTGTCACTTCAAGAAATATCAATAATTTGGTTTATGACGGACTGGGCTGGGGTGATCACACAGGGCTGTGAAACTCGTCTCCCTGGTCTCAGGGCTGCAGGTGCAGGATGTGGGGATCGGAAGGCCACCTTACAGGGCTGTGAACCTCATGGATCTCCTTTCCTCCTGTAGCGTTCCTGAGGTAATGAAACTGACAAACCTCAGTTTATGGCGGTTAAAGCTGGTTCTCTGCTGCAAAGATCTTGCGGCAGCGGTGACACCACACCTCCATGCAACAAGCAGGGAGCAGGGATTGGAGCAGAGCACAGGCAGCCTCTAAATGTGCAGGTTTTCCCCACACCAACAGGCGTGTCAGTCAAAGTGCCTCGGCGTGTCACGAGTGACACGCGTGTCATAGGTTAGCCATCACTGCATTAGCACTTGCCCCTTCTTCATAGGGAAATTTAAAGGTTCCCCTTGCACAGACGTGCTAGTCGTTTCCGGCTCTAGGGGGCGCTGCTCATCTCCGTTACCAAGCCGAAGAAGAAGAGTCAGCGCTGCCCGAAGACGTCTCCGTGGTCAGGTGGCCGGCAGGACTTAACGCCTTCCAAAGGACACAACGCCGAACGCTGTTTCCTTCCCACCAAAGCGGTCCCTATTTTTCTACTTGCATTTTTTTTTAAACGTGCTTTCGAACTGCTAGGTTGGCAGAAGCTGGGAGAAGGAACGGGAGCTCACTCCAGGATGCACCGCCGAACCGCCGAACTTTCTGCATTTCCTTGGATGGATTTTCTTCTCCCCCTTTGTTTTGCCAAAGGCTGAAATTGCTTTTATTCCAGGCATGATTTTATGTCTTAACTTAAGCATTTCACTCTATTAAGATGTCACAAAGAGTTCCAAGTCACCGTAGAACTGTTCAGCCTCCACTTCCTCTGCATTGAAGATGGAAACACAGGATCAGCCTGGACTCAAAACGCAGGGGTGGATTAAGGCTCACTGGTGCCCTAAACACTGACAAATCTTGGTGCCCGCCTTCTTTGTAAGCACTGTACAAACAAAGCCATGTTCCCAACATGCACCAAGACAAATTCCTTGTGTGTCCAATCACACTTGGCCAATAAAGAAGAACTTTCTGGTGCCCTAAGCACATTGCTTAGTCTGCTTAATGATGCATACACCACTGCGAGTCAAAGATTTGGAGGGTTGTGTTCGAGTACTAAGTTTTAACTAACTAACTAACTGACTCTCGTTATGTGGAGGGACTCATGCCTGATTGTTTCAGTTTGCTGGTTCTCCAAGGGACAAGGCTGACTCTTGACCTCTCTGCTCAAGCAGGTGACGTTTCTCTGGGCCAAGGATACGCAGGCAGAAGCAACCTCTCTCCGTTTGCCTCTCCACGGCAGCTGGGCACCCTCCTGGAGATCATCCAGCCACCCCGAGAGGCCCCAGGGCTGGCCCCGCTCGCTCTCCACTTTCCTAAGCCTTCTACTCGTCTTCCAGGGTAACGCTGGCATTGTCCTTTAGCTGTGCACTTGGGCTTGCTGGAAGGGGGTTCCCACATCCTTCTCCAGCAGATGGAAGAAACCTGCAACTTTGAAAGCCTGCAACTTTGTTCTTTCTTCTTTCTGAAGGTGCAGGTGGAGCGATAAACCAGAGGGGGCTGCCGAGGATGCGGAAGAGGAAGAGTTGAGCGTTGTCATCCAGGCGGAGGAGCCGGCAAACTTTAGCCTGCCAGCTTGAAAGGCGGTTTGCTCTGCTGCGAAGACTGGCCTCCTCCTGCTCCCGCCCACTGAGGACAGAGCCGGGATACGAGCCAGATTAGCCCAGGCATTCTAGCCACTACAGGCCTAAGATGCAAGGCCTCCGTCCAGGTGGGGAGAGAGAGGCCCTTTGGGGCTGCTCCTCCTGAACCATCAGAAATGCTCTGGACACACGACTTCTTCTTCTCCTCCTCCTCCTCCCCCCTTTTGTTAGGGCTTTTCCAGAAGGGGGAGGGGGAGGGGGGGGCTCCTCTCTAAATCACAGCACGTAAAGTGCTTTTCCGATAAACAAGTTGAGCTGGCAGCCTCCTTAATTTAACAAACTATTATGCCTTTTTTATTTATCTGCCTTTTCCTAACGCACCAAGTGCAGGAGTCTGCCTTGCAGGGACGTGTCTTACTTACTTACTCCTCCCTGGCTAGATAAGACATATATGTCTTATCGCTACACTGAAATTCTTACCGCTCCTTTCGGTATCTCCGTTTCTGGCTGGCTTACAGCCCAGAGGTGGGGGTGGGGGGGATGGCAGGAGGGGGAAGTCACCGTTTCCTGAATTTTGGCCAAGCCTTCCGTGTGACTCTCCTTTGCAAAGGCAGCAGTGCTTTCCAAGGCCAGCTGACTCCGCAGGGCTCCCTTTCTGGTATCGCTGGCCCCTCCTTTCTCCAGGGAGCCTCACCCTCCACCCTCCCTGGCTCCACACAGCACAAACACAACACCAACCTCCTCTAACAACGCCCTGCATTTCTTAACAGATATCCACCATTTTATAAATTTCCAACAAAATGTGTGTGTGTAGCGAAGCCAGGCACATACCAATGTGCCTTAATCAGGCAAGAAGCTTCTTGCACAGACATTCCATAGTTTGCCAAACAGCCAAAACTCTACCCTCAAGGCCACGCCGGGCATCCTGGTCCCCGCAGCCAGCTTCTTAGCGGGCTTAGTCCCCCCCTTAGGCAACCCCCTCCCATCAGGTCCTTGGGTTCAAGGGAGATCAGACAGGTCCTTGGGGTCCCCTCTGGGGTGTGGCGCCCCTTTCTCTTGCTCCCATCCCCGGGACACCAAGCGGGAGTGGGGGCCAGCCTGCCAGCACCCCCTCCCGGCCACAGTCCTTCCTTCCCACCTTTTCGGAGGGAGAGGTGCCTGGAAGCAGGAAGCAAAGCCAATTCCCTCCTCCCTGCAGCTGGCACTCCAAGCCCTGAGTGCCAAAGGAACGGGCTGGTGGGCTCAGAAAGGCTTCCCAAGGCAGGAGGTCAATCAATCAATCAGAATAGAGCTGGAAGGGACCCTGGAGGTCTTCTAGTCCAGCCCCCTGCTCAAGACAGGGGGCTCCTCCCCTGATTATTTTCCATCCATTGCTTCTTGCCTTGCCTTCTGGGGCTTTGGAGAATAGCTTGACCCCCTCTTCTTTGGAGCAGCCCCTCCGATATTGGAACATGGCTGTCGTGTCACCCCTAATCCTTCTCTTCTCTAGACTGGCCGTACGCATTTCCTGCAACCGTTCTTACGTTTTTGTCTCCAAGCCCGAAGTCACTTCTTCAATGCCACTGTGACTTCAAACAGTCACTAAATGAACTGTTGTAAGTCAAGGACTACCTGCATTTGCACTCATTTGCCACTGTCTGGTTGTCTGCAATCACATGGAGTCTCCAACTGTGGCAACTTCAAGACCCGTGGAGTTCAATTTCCCAGAGTTCCTCAGCCAGCGAAGGTCTGAATTGATTTGTGTTAAGGAGGACACATATTTTGACACGGGTGGCTCGGCGGCTAAGACGCTGAGCTTGTCGATCAGAAAGGTCGGCAGTTCGGCGGTTCGAATCCCTAGCGCTGCCACGTCATGGAGTGAGCTCCTGTTCCTTGTCCCAGATTCTGCCAACCTAGCAATTCGAAAGCACGTAAAACATGCAAGTAGGAAAATAGGGACCCCTTTGGCGGGAAGGGAACAGCGTTCCTTGCGCCTTTGGCATTTAGTCCTGCCGGCCCACATGACCACGGAGACGTCTTCAGACAGCGCTGGCTCTTCTTCGGCTTTGTAATAGAGATGAGCACCAGTGCCCCCTAGAGTTGGGAAAGACTAGCACGGAGGTGCAAGGGGGACCTTTACCTGGACTTCAGTCAGGAAGACTTTGCTGCCACCATCCTCCTCATCCTGGCCATTGACAGGAATTTCACCTCACTTGGACACAGTAGGGAAGGACTTAGAATGGCTTGTGGGAAACAGGATGAAGGCCTAGGCAACAGTCTACAGACAGGCAGGAGTTACTTGATCCACAAACTGTTTTACACACGTCCCCTCCCCCTTGTGCTAGATGCCCCCAGAAGCCAAAGCTTCTTCCTGCCCATGAGCACCGTTTCTTCTCAAGACCAAATTCAGGCTGAACAACTGCCTGTACTGGGGGAGCTGAGAGTGTGTGTGTGTGTGTGTGTGCGTGTGTCAACCGAATACGCTCGAATTCAAGTCCAGACGCACCGATGCCATCCAGACTTCTGGGGTTGGGGGTGGGGGCAAGGCCCTCCAACAACCCGACCTCACCTGTATTCCTGGGGGTTCAGCTTAATAGCTTCGGTAAAGAGGAGCACGGCCTGATGGAAGAGCCCCTGCTTGGCGGTTTCATTCCCACAATCTGGAGGAGAAAAGGATTATTTCAAACGAGGAAAAATTGTGATCGTAGAGGTGGAATTAACCTTTGGACTGTCTAGGAATCAGAGGTCTCCAAACTTGGCAAGTTTAAAACTTGTGGACTTCAACTCCCAGGATTCTCCAGCCAGCATAACCCTTTCTCTGTTCTTGCCCCCTTCACGTATGAATCTTTGCAAGCTCCATGAAGGAAACTGAGGCTAAATCCATTTCGCTGCATATATATGTACAATGACAATAAAGATTATTATTAATTCCCAGAGAGAAAGTTTTCCTGGGCGCCCATCCACACTCCAAATGGATTGCCCTGGAATCGCTCTAGAAAGGGGCAGGCAGCTGCTGCTGCTGCAATTATATTCTAATTATTTGGGGGTAATCTACAGTTAGATTCACCATCTAAGACTCGTGGGAACTCTGTAATTCAAGTCCCAACCAAGGACCTAAACCAGGGGTCCCCAACCACCGGGCCCCAGACCGATACCGGTCCGTAGATCATTTTCTACCGGGCCGCCGGTTTGCTGGGCGCCGCCATCTTGTTTCGACGAGAAAGTGCGTCCAGGTGAGCTTTTCCGTTCGGAAAGCGGCGTTTGGGTCCTGAAGGAATCCTCGCGCCTTAGTTTCATCGAGGGGGGGGGGGCGGCTTCGAACGAAGAGCCGTCCCGATGGCGGAGGAGATTAAGAAAGCACAAAAAAGGTACAGAGGAGGAGTTGAAGGTGGCGGGGAGAAGCACGGGAAGGCTGGCTGGCCGGTCGCTCAGCTCGCCTTGCCTTGTCATGTGTGCTGATGCCGGTACCGGGCCGCGGATCATTTTGTGATGCTGGTACCGGGCCGTGGCACAAAAAAGGTTGGGGGCCACTGACCTAAACTACCTCTAAGAATATAGGCAATTGGAAGCAGGGTGGGTTACTCTTTGTAAAATATTAGTCCTGTAAAATTTTGATAATTTCACTATTTCCAAAGAGCGAGGAAATCCTTTAATGATGACCCCAAAGGATCCAGTCAAGATGAGCAGAACAACAAATTCCTTTTTGTTATCGTTTTCATGATTACTGAAAGTAATACTAAGTTAAGTGTTTTTACGCCTTATTGTAAAACCGCTTCAAAATTGCCAAGTTTGGGGACCCCGGGTCTAGGTGAAAGCTAGGCAGTTCCCCAAATGTCTCCAGGGTTCTTGGGATGCTCTGCCCAAAACCCTTAAAGACAGGAAATGCAGGATAACTCTGTCGTAGTGGACGCACCAATTGGACTTTTTTTAAAAAAAAAGAAAAAAGAAAAACAGGCCTCCACAAGAAATGAACTATCCACCCGGGTTGTCCCACTTTGAATAACTCCCCTGCCCATGACTGATCTTCCCCCCCACACACACACAATCATTATATGCATCCCTCCAACTTACCAAACTTTCCTGCCCAGCCCTCACCCAACCTAGACCAATGTACTCTGTACTCTGCAAGCAAAAAAAGCCCCCACCAAGGACCTCCGTGGAGGGACCTGCGGCCCTGTGGTGCCCTTACAACGCACAGCCCTCCCATTGGAAGGGGCTGGGAAGCCCTCCCCCCCCCCACCTCAAAATCAAACCCAGCCCAGGAGTCGGAAATCAGACCAAGTAACGCTCTAGCTCCCCTTGAAGAGGGCCATTATCGCCCCCAGCCATCTGGTCTCCATCTCTTCCGTGGGACTTAAGGTTCGAGCCCCACCTCCACCCCCCACCCCCCGATCGCCCTCCCTGAACAAGTTCATGTTTCTATGACTCTTTTTTTATAGCTGGTGCCAAGAACTGGCCGCAGTAGCTGACCGAGGCGGACTCAGTCGAGGCAGGATTGGGATTGTAGAAACTGTCGTTCTGCAGAGGTGGCCTAAGCCTCCATGGGCCTCTTTGCAGCTGCTTCCCATGGCTGGCTCATATTCCATCTGCTATCTAATCCTATTCTAAAACAGTTTTCACTACTATCGTTATCGAGCAGGGTCCTCTACTCTGCAAGCACGTGTTTGGTTTTCGTTCTTTCAGTGGAGGGTCGGTTTAAATTTCATTTTTTTAAAAAAAATTCAGCTCATTTTCCTACTCTTCAAACTTGGTCTTCAAACTTGGTCTTCAAACTTGGCAAGTTTAAGACTGGTGGACTTCAATTCCCAGAATTCCTGACTGGAGGAGGAATTCTGGGAGTTGAAGTCCACCAGCCTTAAAGCTGTCAAGTTTGAAGACCCCTGTTCTAGCCCAACCCCGTGCTCCAGCAGGAGATGCTTACAGAATCATAGAATAGCAGAGTTAGAAGGGACCTTGGAGGCCATCCAATCCAACCCCCTGCTCCAGCAGGAGACCTTATATATCATTTGGATTATTTTGGTGCCTCCAACAGAGAGGAAAATTGGGCAGAATAGAATAGCACAAGGGTCTTTAAACTTATTTGAGACTTGTGGACTTCAACTCCCAGAATTCCTGAGCTAACGCGACTGGAGGAGGAATTCTGGGAGTGGAAGTCCACAAGTCTTAAAGCTGTCAAGTTTGAAGAGCCATGCCTTACCCCAATCTAAGTAATTTTAAACTTAATTCTGTCTTCTAGGGAATTCTATCCCTCAATTTTATGCCACCTGAAAACACGATAAGCGCAACCTATTGCTTCGTTCTATTTAGTAAGGGGCCCAGAATTAAAGTTTGCAGCACCCCACTTTTTCCAATATGGCGAGGCACTGCCAAATCCAGGAAACGGCCTGCTTGGGCAGGCCTGGAAAGGCCACAGCAGCTCAGCTTTGGTGGGAAGAAGGCACTTCCAGCCGCTCACCTGCCAGCACCAGGCTCTGCTGCACTAGAGTCAACTGGAGCTCTGAAGGCTTCTGAAAATAGAAGGAGGAGGAAAAGGAGACGCCTGACATTGCCATCCCGCCCGCCCCATGGCTAACGCGAGAGGTTGCAAGCTTCCCCGGCTACTATTTTTGTTATTTTTGTGGGCTTTATTCCGTTTTGTGAGTCATTCAGAGTCATGTGTATGCGATGGCTTGGCCCACACATTAATGAAAGACAGACGAGAGCAGCAACCTTTGAAATCAGGCCTTGTTCTGCTGAACAGAACTGGGGAAAATAACCACACACACCCCAGTGGGCAGTGACTCAAATTCACGGCTGAGGGTTTCATTCCCAGAATTTCCATGGGAGGCGCCCTCAAAGAAAAGGAAGACTTGAGTATTTTCACGCCGGATGGGTAGCTGAGTAGTCCAGGCACATCTGGAGGCCATCAGATTAGGAGGCTGGTTTCCAGAAGACAGGAAATAATCCACCAAATGCCGGATTTTGAAATTCATTTTTATCTCGCCTCTAATACTTTACTCACGGCAGCCAACCTACCAAATCCTCCTCCTATTTTCCCCCGTAACAACCACCCTGTGAGGTGGGTTCAGCTGAGAAAAAAGGGACTGGCCCAAAGTTACCCAGCTGACTTTGGCTAAGGTGGAACGAGAGGCGAGGGTCTCCCGATTTCTAGCCTGATGCCTCCACCAGTATCACTTCTGTCCCTAATGGGGAATCAAGGCGTAAATGAGGAACATATGAACCAGCCCTAGTGGGATAGGGAGGGACACCCACCCACCATAAACTCTGCCAACCAGCTGCAGACCTGAGTGGGAAGTGAGGGCTGGCCATGAAGGGTCTAAAGACTGCATTCTTTTCAGCTGGCCTTTCCCTGATGCAGCCATGGGTTCAGGGGTGGGAATCTACCGGTTCGGGCGTACTGGATGTTAAATTTACATCTGGTTCACTGACCTGATAGTTGAACCGACCGACTGGCTGGCCTCGCCCAGCCCCTCTGGAGGGCCTCCGGACCCCGGGGGAGGCTGCTTTTGCCCTCCCAGAGGCCCGAGGGAAGCCTCTGGACCCTGGGAAAGGCGAAAAAACAGCCCTCCCGGAAGTTCCGGTAGGCCACGCCCACCCAGCAACCGGGCAGCGGTGGGATTTTTGAATCCCACCCCTGCGTGGGTTTCCTTTCAAATCCTGGAAGCTGATAAAAAGGGAGAAACTCCGGCTTTGTGGCCAAGTGAAACCATCGGCTTGCTTTGCAAGGACAGCGCAAAAGGCGATATCCGTGGAAGAGGGTTCAAGGATCTCACAACGCTGAACAACGTAGAGAAAAGAGCAAGTAAAATGCTTCTGGAACAGGAGAAGCATCGGTCTTAGGAAACCTAAGAGGCACTTTTTAGAGTCTTAGCTTTGGTCAAAGGGTGGCCGGCCGATCAAGGCACACATGGCATGGGGAAATTAGAAGCCTTACCCCCCCCCGCGCTTCCCTGTTCTACAGCTCAGGGCATATGAGCAAACTGGTGAGCGAATGGCGACATCTTACAGCGACTATGGAGAGTCACGTCCTAAAAGCAAGAGCGCCAGCTACACCACCAAATGGGATCACGGAAAAATGGGCATTTTGACGGCTGCCAGTCAGAGACGCTCCCTTTAAATCCGCATGCGGGAGACAGGAAGGGAAGAGGGTTCCTGCCCTGCTTGGAGGGTGCCAGTCTGGCTCCCTTCAGAAAAGCCGGATGGGCCTGGAGAGCGCTTTGGCCCAGCATCGGCACACGAGTCCTCACCTCTGCCTTTTGCTTCGTCTCTGCCTTCCGAGTCTCCCTGGTTTTTCCCCCTTCTTTCTCCTTCCTCGGGAGCAGAGACTGGGCACGCACCTTGCGGCGAGCTTTGGAGACAAAAGTGCTGGAGAAATCCAGGTCATCCTGTGGGCGAGAGGCGGAAAGCAGCAAGCTTCAGACCGTTCTCTGGAAGGAAAACCAGCACTGCCACCGGCCTTATGGGATACCCAAAGCTGGGACTGACATGGCCAAAGCCATCTCGCTTGCAGCGCTAATGGCTTGGTGTTGGTTGGCTGGTGGAAAATAAGCATTTCCTCCTGCTGCACTCTAAGGTAGGGATCAAACAAACAAGCCACACGGGACCAGATACCTTCAACGCGCCCCTCACCCCCCAAATAATATGCTTCCTGTATCAGTCAAAATCTCAGCCTCCTTGTGGACTGCTTTTCTCCTGTCCACTCACCGGCCCAGGCTCACCTCTGCCGCCTCTACCTCCTCCATACTGCTGCTGGGGCTCCTGTCTGGGGAGGCCTCATTGAAACTCCCCTCCGAGTCAGGGAGACCATCACTCAAGGTCAAAGTTCCCTCATCTTGTCCGGCTGAAGGTTTATTCTAGGGAGAGCAAAATAAAACCTTGAAGGATCTAGAAATTAACCTGCCACCTGGACTAATTTGCACAGTCGGAAACCAGCACGATCTGCTCAGATCTCTTGTCCGAGCAAAGCGATTGGCTGGAGTTCCCTTACCACAAGGCTGGCACTGAGGGTGATTTCCCAATTGGGGCTACTCTCTTCTGATTAGGGTTGAGCTCCACCCACCCACTGCAGGCAGGAGGCCCACTGGGCACAGCTGCCAGCGCAGCCAGGCGATTCACTCACTGCCTCACTCTTGGCCTTTAGCTCCAGGTTCCGCTTCTCCTGCCTCTTCCGGTCCTTCTGTCTCTGAGGATAAGCAGACAGCATCAGGTTCCCCAGCCACTCAGCTCCCCCCTTCCAAGAGGCAAACAAGCCGCACTGGCACGGCTACCTTCTTCTTCATCCTTTTCTTCTCAGCTTTCTTCTTGAGGCGTTCCTCCTCAGCGACCAGCAATTTTGCATTCCGCTCAGCCTCCTGAAAGAGAGCAGGGACCAGCCTCCTCACCTACCTGACCTCCTGGCACACTACTGTCTCCCAGGAGCAGCCAAACAAGGAACCGATGGGAAGGACCCCTGTGGGCCAAGGGCTACACCTGGCCATTGACTGGCACCAAGGATAACCTGCCAGTAAAGTAAGCACCACCACCATAGAAACAGATTTCATGAAAGAAAAACCAGAACAATGAATGGGATTCTTCCTTAGGAAGGCCACAATGTTTCACATTTTAAAAATGTTTGATTCAGCAGCAGTTTCTGGAACCCTCTGGGAAGTGGCCTTGTTTACATCAATAGCTATCAGGGAATGTGGTAATTCCGACCTGGGAGCTTTACAAAGGGGAAGGAACTCAAATAAGCACTGACTCACCTCAGCTGTAAGTTGTGGTTTCTGGGGCAAGGCCGAGCCCAAAAGAGCAAGGTCCAAATTGCTGCTTTGGGGAGGGAGAGGGACAGAAGGTGGAGAAAGAAAGGCCCTCTGAAAACCAGAGAATGTGGTGTAAGGACCATTCTGAACTTCGTCGTTGTCGCTGTCTTCTTCTGCTTCCTCAATGATGTCTTCCAAGGTCTCATACCTAGCATAGTTAATCACACTATACCAGTAGGGCTCTCCATTCAAATCTGAAAGGGGACCACAAGAGGCTAGAGTAAGCAAGACGGAAGCTTATCTGACTGAAATCTTGAAGCCATCCTCAGCCATCCAGTGTTGCACAAAAGAGCACAAAAAATGTGGATCTGACCTTGGACAGGGAAGGCAGGGTCCAAGCATTAGACACCCCCCCCCCCCCCAGAAAGTGGAAAGGGTGAGAAAGAAGATCAGTCAAAATAATCCTGCCTTTGTTTTGTTTAGCGGACTATGGGAGACAGAAACTTGGGCAAGATTCTCTAATTTTGTTTCCTACAACCATCAAGAGCATTCCCGGAATCCCTGCAGTTTGTTTTTTGATCCGGCCGTGCTTCAAGGGCAGACACCAACCTGGAAAGTCTGTATGAACATTCATAAAGCCTTATTCATAAAGTTGAATGCAGACGCAGAAACAGTATAGTCCAGGGGTTTTCAAACTTGGCCACTTTAAGACTTGTGGACTTCCAACTCTCAGAACTGAAGTTGAAGTCTCTGGGAGTTGGAAGTCCACAAGTCTTAAAGTTGCTAAGTTGGGAACTCTTTGTCTAGGATTATGATTACTTCTTTATTTTTATCCTGCCTTTATTATTATTTTTTAAATAAATAACTTGAGGCAGAGGACATACTTAATACTCCTCCCTTCTCCTATTTTCACAACAACCTTGTGAGATGAGAAGTTTGGGGGCCCCTGGTATAGTCTGTCGGCACCAAGAAACCCCTTTATTACTTTGGGTTGTTGAAACAAGCCAAGCAATTCCCAAAACTGAGCACTGAAACACTTTTCTGGGCTCACCTGTGAATGAGACCCCCTGAAGGCATTTTCTGCTTTCATTTTCTGCACTTGGGTTACCTCCCCCGCCCCCTCCAGGATTATCCCAGTTATTCTTTGGCTTGTTTGCTCCCCTTCTCCGGTTCTAAAAAGTCCGGGAGCCCCCAGGGCCACATTCACAGCCTGCTGCCAGTCGACCTTATGCAGCAGGGAGGGTTCAAAGCGAACCGATTTCTATTCCACCTTGGCTTTCCGACCGAGCCCGAGGCTGCGGACCCGCCGCCTCTTCCCCCCCACCCGCGTCCGCCCCAAAGACGACGCCCGGGGCTCTCCGTGGCTTCCCTGCTCGTGGCGAGCGTCTCTCGCCTGTCTCGGACGGGCCAGCCCCGCAAGCCCCCCGCCCCGCTTGCCTCCAGCGAACGTCTCCCCCCCCCCCCCCCCCCGCCCCCCGGGGCAAGGCGGGCCCCGCCACGACCGCTCCCACTGCCGGACATAGACGGCTCCTTCACCTTCCTCCTCCTCCTCTCCTTCTTCTTCCTCGACCACCAGCCGCTCCATGATCCCGCCGAGGTGGGCGGCGCCGGTGCGGCGCCTCCCGAGGGTCCCTCTGGCGGAGAGAAACGGCGCGGGCCGCAGCTGCCTTCCCTCCGGAAGCGGAATGCGCGGCCTCCTTCCGGCAGGCAGCAACAGGCCACCATCTTGGGTGGGCGGGGCCGACCGCGTGAGAGGCGGGGCTTTCAACCATTCTCGGGATTCCTCTGACCAAACCTGGCCACTTTAAGACATGTGGACTTCAACTCCCAGAATTCCCCAGCCAGCACTGGCTGGGGAATTCTGGGAGTTGAAGTCCACATGTCTTAAAGTGCCAAAGTTTGGAGACTACTGAGCCGAAGGGCGGATCGGGGCCTTTCCTAATTGAAAAGCTCTGCCTAGCAAACTGGGTCAGGGGCTTGGGACGGAGAGCTTCCCTGACCCATTCGGCCGCCAGCAGGAAAACCAGGGGAACGAGCGGGTGGAATGAGCCCCTGGTGTCTGCCCGAGAGGCTTCCGCTGCAAGGAGCAACTGTGTTTTTCCCCCCAATGGGTTCTGCAGTTGGCACCACATTCGGGGGGATGGGGGTTGCACCAGGCATGAGATGCTGCTGCTCTGGCAGCAGTGGGGAAGGGAATGGGGGCACAAGGGGGGTGGATGGAGGGGAGATGGGAGGAAGCGGCATGCTTGGGAACATGAGCGGCTTAAACATGTAAGACAAGAGTCTTCAAACTTGGCAGTTTTAAGACTTGTGGACTTCAACTCCCAGAATTCCCAAGCTAACATGACTGGAGGAGGAATTCTGGGAGTTGAAGTCCACAAGTCTTAAAGCTGTCAAGTTTGAAGACCCTTGATCTATCATCTATACCTGTCTGTCTGTCTATCGTCCATCCATCCATCTGTCTGTGTCTGTCTGTCTGTCTGTCTATCATAAGGGCCTTCAAACTTGGCAACTTTAAGACTTGTGGACTTCAACTCCCAGAATTCCTGAGCTAACATGACCGGAGGGGGAATTATGGGAGCTGAAGTCCACAAGTCTTAAAGCTGTCAAGTTTGAAGACCCTGACTGCGGGTTCTTCGGACTACATCGGGGCAGGAGGGAGCTTCTGCTGCTTTTAACGGGGGCTCCCTGGTTCTGCACCCTGGCTGGACTTCCGCCTGCCCGGAGGCCTCGTTGCCGCCCCTCGCTCAGCCCCGCAACTCCAGTTTGTAACTTTCTCTCGGGGCACGAAAGGCAACAATAAAATACAGAGATCTCAAAACTTGGCCGCTTTAAGACTGGTGGACTTCAACTCCCAGAATTCCTGAGCTAACATGACAGGGGGAGGAATTCTGGGAGTTGAAGTCCACCAGTCTTAAAGCGGCCAAGTTTGGGGAACCCCCTGCTCTAAAACGCAGAAGCTACGAAACCTCCCGGAAAACCAGCCTCGCAGCATCTGGGCCGCCAGGCGAGGGTTCGTTCATCCGGGCTGACCCAGGCCACTCTCCGGCCCCCACATAAGGGGGGGGGAGCCTCCCGCTGGCCGCGCCCGGCTCGGCTCGCCTTGGTCCGGCTCTCCGCCACGTGACTGCCGGCAGCCCCGCCCCTGGAGCCGAACCCCACCCCCCCACCCACGCCCGGCAACGGCGCTCCCGACTCCTCCGGCCGAAGGGGCATCTCCCAGCCCCGAGGGGCCTCCCCAGCCATCTCTCCCCGGAGCCCCCGCGGAAGAGGACGCCGGACTATGGAGCACTGGCGGGACCCCGAGCCTGGTAGGCCGAGGGGGGAAGCGGCGGGGGGCTGCGCTCCGGTCTTCGCTGGCTCCGACGCCGCCGGCCAGAAGGCTCCGGCTGAAGCGCGGCGGGGACCCTTCCGCCTTCTGGAAGAGCCCCGGCGCGGGCTGCCTTGGCCGCCTTCGGGGGTGGGGGGGTGTCTGCTGCCCCGGGGCTCCCGTTGTTTTCTCCTTTGGCTCCCCCGCCGGGAAGACTGCTTGTCCGGGAGGCCTTACCTGCAGACCCCTGGCCAGGGCATCAACAGTCGGGGAGAGGAGGGGCGGAGGGGGGGTGTCTTGAAAGCAGCTGCTTTGTGGTGGGGAGGGGGCGGGAAACCCAGGAGGGGCTGTAAGCACCCCTTGTTCTCTCCACAGGGTCGGGTTTGTGGGCAGAGATCGCCGGGCCTTTCCCGGAAGCTGAAGTGCCTTTACCCGCCCATGTGCACCCAGGCCAGCATCCCCTGCCTCTGGCTCAGCCTGGCAGCCCAGCTCAGGAGGAGGAGGAGGAGGAGGGCCAGGAGGAGGTGCCCGGTGGCCTGCCCTGCCCTGCCCAAGCGGACAACGCCTACCTGGGGATGAGCTCCAGCCTCCGCACACCAGGCCTCCAAGTGGCCCCAGACTCGGCCAGGGGGACTTTCTTCTACTGGGCCAGGTGGGGCAATGTGGCCCGTCAGCACAAGACAGTGGAGGGCCTGCTGCAGCAACAACATTGCTTGCGCCTGGCTCGCCACTACTGCCGGCGCCTGAAGGCGGCTTCTGACTTTGTGCGCCGCTTGATGGAAGCCGAGCGACGTTTTGTGGCGCCTGCTGGCAGGCAGAGCTCTGAGGAGGCCTGGCTGCTGCGGGGACTCTGCCAGGAGCTGCGGGTGCACACCTCTCATTGGGGCTGCCTGCAGTGCCACCTGCGCAAGGACCCCTGGCTGAGGCCCCTGCTGCTTCGGCAGCCTGAGGCGGTGCAGCGCATGAAGAGGTCCCTCGGGCTGCTGGCTCTGCAGGCGCTCTGCCTGCTGGAGAGATGCTTGGAGGCCGTTCTGCAGCACTGGGCCTGTGGGCCGCTTCCTCTGCTCTCAGAGGCCTTCCGAGGCCTGGAGAGCTATAACCAGGGGCTGAGTGAGTGGGGCCTGCAGGGAGCCAAGCCGGGGCCTGGGGCTCCAGGGCAACAGGGGGTACAGGCTTTCTCTGTGGAGAGGGTGCTGGCTGTCTTGGCTGCTGAAAGAGGACGCCTGGCTGGTGACAGGCTGGCTCTGCTGCTCCCTTGGCAGCAGGCAGGGACCAGCGACCTGAGGCCCACAGCCGCTGACACTTCCGGGGCGGGCGAGGATCTCCCTGCACACCTGCAGGCCTTGTGCCGAGAGGAGGAGGAGGCGGTCATGGAGCTGCTGCCAGGATTGCTTGCGTCCACTGGTGGCCTGAAGCATCGCCTCCTGCACCGGCCCAAGCAGGACCAACCCCAGGGGACCCCCGGTGCAGCCCAGGGCCTGGCCCCTACCCCACTGCCCAGCTGGAAGTCGTCTGATGGGCTGGATGCCTCCTTCGCCGAAGCGGCTGCGATGCTCTGCGCTGAATACCGACCCCTCTTCTGGAAAGCGGCGTCGACCTCCTGGGTGCGCCAGCTGGAGCTCCAAGCGAACCAGGCTGAGTGTCAGAGTGGAGCCGGGGCTGCCCTGGGCCAGCGGGTGACCAACAGTCGGGGGGGGGGTGGGGCGGGCGGGGGGGGGGGGGCAGGGAAGAGGGCCGGGTGCTGGCCGGGTCGGCGGGATGGTGGCGGTCAGATGTAGGCAGCTCCGGAGGTTTCTGCAAGGACCTTGAAATGCCTCCTTGGGCCCTGGCTCTGCCGTCTTGAGGTCTGCCCTGGCCAGGTGAAGGTTGGACCTTCAAGAATTCGGACCGTGTAAGAAATATAGCGTGGGCAGCAGGGTTCCCATTTTCTGGAGAGATTTTTTTCTTGCCAGTGGACTTATTTTGTGGGATTTTTTTTCTCTTGAGGGGATTTTGGCCTTGCTCGGTACGTGACCCTCAAAACCAGTGGTGGGATTCAGATTTTTCTACTACTGGTTCTGTGGGCATGGCTTGGTGGGTGTGGCGTGGCTTGGTAGGCGTGGCAGGGGAAGGATACTGCAAAATCCCCCTTCCCTCCCCACCCCACCCCACTCACCTGCTTTCCAGCCCCATTCTCCTGCGCAGGGCAACCAAAAAAGACCCAGCCAGTCAGCTGGGACTCAATGGGAGGCGGAGAAGAGATGGGGTTGGCGGGGCCAGTCAGAGGTGGCATTGGCCGGTTCTCTGAACTATTCAAAATTTCCTCTACCGGTTCTCCAGCACTGGTCAGAACCGGCTGAAGACCACCTCTGGTCCCAACCTTGCCTGCTCTCAGACTTTCCACCTGCCCTGTGAAGTGGCTTCTGTCGTCTTTCCCGGGGTGAGCCGAGGCTTTGCCTCCTGAAACCAGACTGAAACCACCGGGAATGTCTCTTTCTCTAGCTTGCCTGCCTGCAGAGGCCGCGGAGGAACTGAAGGATGTGGCCCTTTGCCTGCTCAGGCGGGATGCCCTGTGGCAATGGGACCCAGGTAGGGTCCTCGTCAGGAGGGGGGGGGGGCTGTGGGCCATCTTGGCTTGGGATGGCTCAATTCCCACCCTGTTTGGGACCCCCCCGGGTGACTGAGGCAGGGAGACCTGCATCCTGACCCCCTCTTGGCCCAGGGTTCTGCCATGCTCTGGGTACCAGCCTTGTGGACAGATGCTCGCCCAAGCCCACGACTGTGGCCTGCAGCCAGACAGGGAAAGTTTTGCAGAGCCTCTTCCTGCTCCTGGCCTTCTGCATGAGATGCCTGGAGAGGCAACCTTTCCATGGTGGCCCAGGTAGGTCAGCTTGTTCCTGGCCTTGCTGCTGAGGGGAGGCAAGCGGTGGGTGGGTGGGCTCTTTGCCAGCTGAGCTGGTTCTTCTTTCCCAGGGCAGCGCCTGGTCCTTGCCAGCCTCCACCTGTGCCTGCTTTCCCTCGCGGTGGCTACCTGCCATGCCTCTTCCTACTGGACCATGAGCAAAGCCTACCAGTACTTGGCCTCCTGGTCCCTCAGCCAATTCCTTCTTGTGGCCCAAGGGGATTTGCAGGCAAGCATCTTGAACCTGAGCCCTCCTGGCCTGGAGCTGACCCAAGCAGTCAGCCTCCGTTTCCCTTGGTTTGTATTGTATCCAACGGAGCCTGGAAGGAAGGCCTTCCAGAACTCATCATCCCAAAGGGCAGGGGGTTGTTGTTGGGCCTTGCCGTGCGAGGGTCCCCCGAAGAAGGGGAGGGGGGGGTTCTGGTGGTTGAGACAAGAAGGCTGCCTGGGCGCCCCAAAGGAAGCTCCTTGTTGTCACCTGCAAGGACAGAAGCCTTTTTTTCTTTTCTTGCAGCTGCTGAAAACTGAAGCCAGGAAGATGTTGGGGCTGGTGAGCAGGGCCTCCTTGGAGGACAGGTGGAAGCAGAGCCCTTTGGCCTTTCATCGGGAGCGGGAACTGAGCCTGCGAGTCCATTCGGCAACTACCAGCATCCAAGTAAGCCTTGGGCCTGGCAGAGCTGGGCCTGTGGCTCAGGAAGGTTGTTGAACAAGGCTACTGGGGCTATTGAGGAGTCCAACAAGGTCAGGAGAGGCCGCCATAGGCTTCCCAACCTGTTGTGCAGGAACCCCGGTCCTAGGACGCCCTAGCAGGCCCACAAGGATGCTTGAAAGTCAGCTCTGGTCTCTCTTGCTTGAACGAGTCTCGGCTATTTTGGCGGAGTCAGAAACTCCACGTTGCTTCGGTGCATCCTCTCCTCCTCTTCAGGGCAGCAGGGGCAGCAGTCTGCCTAGCAGGGTCTGCTTCCCATAGTTATTTGTGGGAGAAGGGCCTCCAGAGATGCCCTTAATCCGATGGCATCTTCGGCTCCTCTGGTTGGCCAGCTTGGTGGTGGGGGTAAGGGCAACTGAAGATGGAGATGCTGGCGGGCCTCGACCGGAGAATGAGAGTCCCCTTCCGTCCCCGGTAACCAGCGGCGTCAACCTTGTAATTCACGGCACAGCAACCGTTATTCGTGTAATCTAGGGGCGGGCAAGGTTAGGGGCATGAGGGGCTGCACATGGCACCCTTTTCTCACCCACAGCTTTTTGCCAATGACGTGCTGGAGTTGTTTTGTCTGGACTGCAGGCGCGTGTCAGCCGAGGTCTTTGGACAGGCCATGCCGCTTGGCAAATACTGGCGCCTTGCCCTGCAGGCAGGTACGCGGGAAGGGCGGGGAGGTGGCAGAGGGCCAGGCCCCCTCCTTGCAAGGACGGGCACTGGCGGTTCACTCAGGTTGGCCAAGCCTGTTCCTCCGACCGGCAGGAGGGTGTGAACCTCCTGGCATGTGCGCTTCTCCTTCAAACTGGTGGGGGGAGGGGCGGGTTGCAGACCACCCCAAGAGGCCGTGGAGGGGGGGGGACAGGGTACTGAAGAGGGGCAGCAGCCCTTGCCCACCTCTGACTGCTGCCCTGTCCTCCCCTGCCCTGCCCTTGCAGAACCACCCTCCGCTGGCAGCAAGTATGCCCAGGCTGCAGCCCAAGCCATCCTAGCGCCAGTCTTGCAAGGTGTCCGGTGGCTTTCCCAGGACTCCCAGGCTCTGGTCCTCAGCCGGGTCACAACGGCCTTCCTGGAAGTCTGGATGGAGCACATCCTGGCCCAGAAGATCAAGTTCAGGTGAGTTGGCCCTGCCGGAGGGGCCTCAGGCTGGGCTGGCCAGTCCGGCCCTTTGCCGACTGACCCCTTTCAGCCTCCAGGGAGCCCTTCAGCTGAAGCGGGACTTCGATCTGGTGCGGGAAACCCTGCAGTCGGAGGACTACGAGCTGCCCGCCGAGGTGAAGCAGCTGGTTTCCTCCCTCCGGGCCTTCCAGCAAACGGACAACGCCGTCGCTTGCCTCCTCCAGCAGCCCAGCAAGGGCACCTTGTCCTCCTGCAGCTGGGACGCCCTGCAAAAGTGCTGTGAGTGCTGGCAGGGGGTGGGAGAGAGGCAGAGCTGCAGGAGGGGGGGGGGGTACCCCTCCTTCTCATCCGCATGGCCCTGTGGAAGGGGGGGGCGCTTGCTTGGCTAGGGTGGAGCAGTCGAAGGCTGGGATTTGGCGCCTCCCTTGGGTGGGACCAGGCGTCCCGGGGCAAGAACTCCGAAGTGCCCACCGTTCCATGCCTGCCCAGGGTTCTTGCCATGGCTGGCGCTCTTGCTTGGCGCCCTTGGTCCTGCTGCCTCTGAGCCGAGTCCTCCCCGCCACCTCTTCCTCCGCTCTCCAGGCTCACGTGATGGGACGCGGTCCTGGCACGGCAGCCCGGGCAGCCTGAGCAACCTGGAACACCTGGAAGGGCTGCCCGTCCGTGCTCGAGCTGGGCCAGAGAGCTGGGCGGCTGACTTGCTGAGCCGTGCCCCAGGAGGTGGCACAAGCTCCGAGACCTACCTGAGCCTGGCCCAGCAGGAGTGGCTGGCGCTGCGGCTGCATGGGGCCCGCCGCTGGAGGATGCCCGCCCTCTCCTGCATGGACCACCCCTCGGAGGCTTGATCCCGCTGGGCCTCCAGCCCCTGATCTCCGCCTGCCCTCCCTCCTCCTGAGCTGCTGGGCCTTCCGGCCACCCTGGTAGTGGGGGGGGGGGGGCTGGGGTGGGGGGGGGGGAGCCCAATCCCACAAAGGCCTTCCTTGGCCCGGCAACATTCTGCAACAGCTCCCCCCCCCCCCGGCAATGGGCAACCCCGATTTGGTATAGGAGCCAAATCCACAGGAAGCAGCCGCCTCTTGCTCTGACTTGGAGCCATTCCTCGTCCTGGCTGAGCCTTATTCAGGACAAGGGAGGCTCGGCTGGGCCGTGGTGCACAGTGGAGTCAACTGGTCTGGCTCTGCTTGGAAGAGCAGCAAGTCAGGTAAGGGGCTGTTCCTGCAGGACCCCCCTCCCCCCATCCTCTTGGTTCTGTTACCCACTCCCCTTTAGGGGGGACCTGGAACCGGGGTGCTAGTAAGTGCAATTGGGGCATTTCTTGGGGTGTTTGGGAGGTGGGGGAAGAGGAGGAGGGCTGCACAGGTGAATCAAAGCCCTGGCCCACCTCCATCACCTGCACAGGCAGATGCTACGTCCTTGGTCCCTTGCTTTGGCTTCTGTGAGGCCAGGTTCTCTCTCTCTCAGGCAGGGACCTGAAGGCGCGCCATTTGTCCCCAACCCTCAACATCCTTTCCCCGCTTTGGCCCCTCTGCGTCTGACTATCCAACCTCTTGAGGCCTTAACAAAAGCTGTTGCCTCTCGGACATCAGAAAGCCCTGGGTGGTTGCTGGCCTTTTTGAAGCTTTTGGCCGCAGTTTGCCTCTACGCTCTCGCTGGGTTGCTGGAGGAGGCAGGCGCCAGCCCAGGCAGGTGTCCCGATGCTCGGGAGGGAGTGGGGGACTTAGGGAAGCCCCTTCCTGCCCCGAAGGCTCCAGGGGCTGGTTGTCAGTGACACATTTGGAGGCCTTGGCCAGGCAGAAGCGGATTGCTGATTTCTACATTCATCTCGTGTGAAAGACGAAAGGCTAAAGAAAAATAAAGGCCATTATATACCTCACAGCTTCCCAAGGTGGTTTGTTCTATAGTATCTCTTTCTCCCTGGGGAAATCCGGTGTCGTCTTTGGTTGGGGTTTATTTTCCTGGCTGATTTTGTTATATGAAGTCGGCCTGTGGGATTCGTTCAGAGGTTGGAATTCAGCCGGTTCTGGCGGACTGGTAGCTGAAATTTTGACTGGTTCAGAGAAGCAGCAAATACCACCTCTGGATGGCCCCGCCACGCCCCTTCCAGGAGTCCCCGTTTTGGCTCCTAGGTAAGTGTAGGGAGGCTTACTAGGCCCAAAATGGGGCATGGGGGGGGGTAGGGTGCGGCATAGCCCCTCCGCGGCCTGTGTTTGCTCCCAGGAGGCTGCAGGGAGGCTTACTAGGCCCAAAGCGGGGCACGGGTGTGTGTGGCATGGACCCCCCCCCCCGGCCTATTTTTGCTCCCAGTGGGGGTGCAGGAGGCCAAGTGCCTGTCACACCCCTGGCCATGCCCATCGAGCCAATCGTTAGGGCAGAGAACCGGTTAAATTATTTGAATCCTAGATTCATTGTTTGTTTGGAAATAAGCAATCCCCAGCCAAAACTTCCAAGAGAAAACAATGGTAATTTTGTTCTTCATTTTGCAAAGCGGGTCGACCATGCACACACATCAATGCATTTGCCTTATATTCCCTAGCACAAATTTACCTCCCACCTCTTCTTCATTGGCTTAGTGATGCCACAACACCCTATCCAAAGTGTCTAAAATGAATACATTATCTCAGCTCCTGATTACTTCTCTAATTCTATCTCCCCCTTTACTTATAAATTTCCTTTTATGGTCCTAGTTCCTGGGGGGTTGTCTCTAGAGTAACTATCATATCAGTAAATTCTTGTTATGACTGGTTTTTGGCACAAAAGGCCTCTAATCTTAGCTCCTACACACAATTCTCAAGATTCAGCCTAGCTCATGAGATTAGGAAGATACACAATGTATTTTGTTCGCAGCCCAACATGACTTCTTATAGTTCTGTAACAACACAACTCTGTTTCTCACAAGCCTATGGTTAGTGTATGGTTTGGTGCAACGTGCAGACACAGAACATGGGTTAAATTTACGCGCTGCAATTGCAGCCCTATTCAATCTGAGTCTGAACCTCGTAAATTTCCTGAATATTATTGATAGAAGAGTTGATCCAGCAAGACTGAACACGGCAAGGCTACCTGTTGTAGTTTGCCAGCAGCCTGTGCAGACGGCAGCAATCGGACAGTGGGGAAGAACAGGGACCAGTCCAGGAGTCTGGGGAGGACTCGGATGAGGGTCCTGCATCCGATACAGAGATGGAGCCAGGACCATCTGGGAGTTATGTGGCGACTCCAGAGCCTTTAGAATCTGGCAGCAGTGAGGCCGAGGAACAAGGGGAGCTTGTTCCCAGTGCGTGTGTGCGCAGAGCTTCCAGAAGGCAATAACAGTTAAGACAAAACAGGCGACTCGGGAGTAAGGCTTGGAAGTGACTGCCTCTCCCATAAGGTATAAAGGACAGGCAAAGGTAAAGAAACCTTTGCAGGAAGCAACGTCATTCACTCTGATTGGTTTGGACTCTGAAAGCTCCATGGTGAATTTGTTCTCTGCTTTTGGAAAGACTAATTGGGACTTTAGTAGTTGGCAGCACTTCAAGTAAGGTATTGTTAACCCTTCAATGCACCTTGTATCATATAAATATGTGATACGTTTATTATGCAAATATATGTTTAATTTTATCAACCATTTACCTGTTTATCCCTGTGAGTAGTTGTCGTGGGGCCCCCAGTAAAGTCTGGTTTGCCTGCGGCCCATAATAGAATAGAATAGCAGAGTTGGAAGGGACCTTGGAGGTCTTCTAGTCCAACCCCCTGCTTAGGCAGGAAACCCTATACCGCTTCAGACAAATGGTTATCCAATATATTTTTTAAAAAAATTCCAGTGTTGGAGCATTCACCATTAATGCCATTAAGCGGAGGGGGGGGGGAGCGAAGCCGGTGAAGAAAGCGGTGGCCGGACGAAGCGGCCCCGCTTTCCTGACCCTCCCGTAAAGAGAGGCTGCCGTGGGGACGTTGGGGGGTCTCGAGCGCTGCCCACCAGGCTTTCCCCCACGGCTGGCTGGGGGGAATTGCGGGGGTGGCGGGGCTCGAGTCCATCCTTTTTCTCCTTCAAAAGCCCTTGGCCTTCTGCCTGAAGAACCGAAGAAGCTTCTTGGATGAGAAGCGAAACGCTCTCAAGGAAAAAAAAAAGAGGTCCAGTTGCCTCTTGAAGGGAAAAAAAACAGTGGACGACGGAGACGCTCCATCGGCGCCCATGATCCCAAAGAGCTGGGAAAAGGGCTGTGCCGCAACCGGGCCAGGCCGCAACCGGCGGAGCGCCCCCACCCCCCCGCCCCGGGAGCCCCCGCAGCGAGAGCGGTTTATCGGGGCAGCCACGGCCCGAGCGGCTCCCCCGCTCCCTCCCCCAGCGGGAAAGCGCCACGCTGGCCGGACTACGAGTTCCGGCAGCCTCGGCGCCCTCGGCCCCGCCTCTTCCGGGCGCCCTTCCGGCGCGGCGGCAGCAGGGCCTGAGCGGGGCGGGACGGGGCGGTGGCGGTTGGGTGGATGGCCTCTCTCGCGCGCCTCGTGTCGGCCTCGGCCATCCCGACCAACTCGGGGGAGCTGCTACGGGGCGACAGCGGGCCCTTCCCGCCGGCAAGTACCCGCGCCCCCCCCCCCCCCCCCGCGCACTGGGCCCGTCCGGGCGGGGGCGGCTCCCCGGCCGCGGCGCTGCCATTGGCCGCCCTCCTGGCCGCCCCCTCCCCCCCCCCCCCCCGGGCGCGGAGCCAGGCCGGAACTCCGCGGGCGCGGCAGGGAGGCGGGCCCCGGCCTGCTCCGTCCCGCCCAGGGGCTGCCCGGCCCCCGGGAGCTTCCCCGCGGCACCTTGACGCCTTGCTTGCCCCCAGGTCCCGGGCCGCGCGGGCGGCGAGGCGGAGGAGGACGATGCGCTGGCCGAGGAGCTGGAGGAGGGGATCGAGGGAGAAGCGCAGCCGTGGAGCCTGCAGGAGAAGGCGCTGCACGACGCCCGGCTGAAGGCCAAGGGGAAGCGGCGGCTGCGGCGGACCTCCTCCCGCGATTCCCACCGGGAAGCCCTCCCGGAAAAGGGCGAGCCGGAGCCGGAGCCCAGCAGCCCGAAGGACAAGAACCACGACCGCAAGTCCCGCATGGGGAAGGGCCGCGGCCTGCCCAAGAAAGGTAGGGCGGCCGCCGGGCCTGTTCGCCGGGGGGCGGCCCTGGAGCTCGGGGGGGGGGGCGGCGGCGCAGCCCGGGGGAGCAGGCCTGACAGCCCCCTCCCTCTTTCCAGGCGGGGCAGGGGGCAAAGGCGTCTGGGGAGCGCCTGGGGTGGTCTACAGCTACCAGGAGCCGGATGCCCGCGACCCCAACTACGACGAGGCTGCACAGGTACCACCACCTGGGGTGGCTGGGCTTAAGGCCTGAAGGCTCCTCCCAAGGCAAAGCTTGGAAGTCCCAACTGAGCGGGCGAAAGGAACAAGAAGGCCCAGTCGGCCTTCACCCCCACCCCAAATCCTCCTCCTACTTCCTGAGCCCCCCCCCTTGACCTGCCTGGAAAAGGCCCTGCCTTGTGGGGTCCCTTTAATCGGAAGCGGGGAGAACCCCCTACTTGCCTCTTAGTTCGTCAGTAGGCTCGGTGCTCCCAGCCTCTCCTCCTGGCGGTCCCAGCTGAAGCAGACTTGGGCAGTGGCAACGGCCCAGCAGCTCCCCTAGGTCCTGGTCTGAGGAGTGGGCTCCCTGGCTGAGGAGGAGCCGGAGAGGAAGCCCCAGGAAGTTGGGGGTGGGGGAGCTTTAATGGCCACTGCACTTTTTTTTTAGGGGAAGACCGTCTATGCCACGGTGGTGCCTGAGCTGGAGGAAGAGGAGCTGGAGAAGACGGTTCAGCCGATGGTGCTGGAATATTTTGAGCACGGAGACACCCTGGAAGTCGTGGTGAGTCTTAGCAAGAGTGGAATCCCCCCCCCCCCCGAGTTCTTCCAGGCAGGGAACACCCCACCCCCCCTTGCAAGAGGGAGCCTCTGGACCAGGGGTCTCCAACCGTAGCAACTTTAAGACTGGTCGACTTCAACTCCCAGAGTTCCTCGGCCAGCTTTGCTTGGTCTGGGTGCAAATGCTCTCAGTGTACATAAAAGGAAAGAGACATTCGTCAAGAATCATCAGGTACATCACTTAATAATAGCCATAAGGAATCAAATCATACTAGGAAACACTCAAAAATCGTTAGGATGCAAGCGACAAAATTACAGTCATACACAAGTGGAAGGGGATGGGTGATAAGGAGGTTGAGAAGATTAATCGTAATAGTAATACAGACTTTGTAAATAGTTGAACAGTGTTGAGGGGATTATTTGTTTAGCAGAGTGATGGCGTTCGGGGGGAAAAAACTGTTCCTGAGTCTAGTTGTTCTGGTGTGCGTCGTTTTGAGGGTATGAGTTGAAACAGTTTATGTCGGGGATGTGAGGGGTCTGTAGATATTTTCACAGCCCTCTTTTTGACTCGTGCAGGATACAGGTCCTCCATGGAAAGGAGGTTGATAGTAATTGTTTTTTCTGCAGTCCTAATTACTCTCTGGAGTCTGTGTCTGTTCCTGTTGGGTTGCACAACCAAACCAGACAGTTATATAGGGACAGATGAAGTTAAAGCTTCATAAAAAGCTGACTGGTTTCTTTTTAAAAGTTAACTTCTTTTTTTTTACATTGAAAATGTAATAGAATTTTTAACGTAGACGGTTTATTTAATTGGGTCACCTTCTCTGGAGCAGTTGGACCTGCTGTGTATTTTGGCCTTTTATTGGAATGAGTACCTCTGCGTTGTACAGGCCTTTTAAATCACGTGATTATCTTTGAAGACAATCTTGCCTTTATTAAACACACAGCTCCTGAGAGCTGGTTTAAGCCCTTCGTGCGGGCAAGGAAACAAGCCGCGTCTCTGCTGCCTGGAGAAGCCCTGAGAAGCATGGGGTGGGCTCTGGGGTCTCAACTGTCAGAGGCCTAGCTCTCACCTGCTGCCCCTTTTTCCTCCTTCGCCAGGAGCTCCTTCGGAATCTGAACTTGGGGGGCCACAAGGCAACCGTGTCCTCGCTGGCCGTGGTTCTCTCTCTGGAGGGGAAGGCCAGCCACCGGGAGCTGACCTCCCGCCTGCTCTCGGACTTGGTGGGGAAGGTGCTGAGCGCCGAGGACATCGCGGCTGCTTTCGACGGGATGCTGCACGACCTCCCCGAGCTGATTCTCGACACGCCCGAGGCACCCCAGGTCAGTCCTGCCCAGGAAGTGGGGGGGAAGGGGAGGTGCTTTCCTCTTCTGGACCCCGTGGGCCCTGACCTCGCGCCCCCCCCCTTGTCTTGCCTGTGCAGATGCTGGGTCAGTTCATCGCCCGGGCTGTGGCCGACCATGCGCTCCCCCTCAACTTCCTCGAGCGCTACAAGGGGCGTGTGGACTGTGAGCATGCACGGTGAGAGGGCCGGCCTCGTGGATGCCATGCCCTCGGGGGTGGGGGAGGGAGGGCCACCCCCGGGCTAACAGGAAGTGTGTGAGCGAGAAAGACGGTTGCTGGATACGCTTTTTCCTCTCCCTGCAGGGCTGCCCTGGATCGTGCTGCTGTCCTGCTGCGCATCAAGCGAGACGTCAACCGGCTGGACAATGTGTGGGGCGTGGGGGGCGGCCAGAGGCCAGTCAAGCACCTGATCAAGGAGGTGAAGAGCTGGAAGTGTGGGCGGGGGGCACGCTCGGTCTGCCCTCTACTGCCCCTCCGGCGGTTCTTGAGCGGCCCTTGGATGCTTGGCCGTCTGCCGGATGCATGGGGTTGGAGAGATGGGGCGACTGACCGAGGGATGTCTTTGGGGCCAAGCATGCGGAGGGAGGGAGGGAGGCTGCTCCATGCCAGGGCCTGCTGGAGGGAAGCAAGCACCCAAAGCTGCTGCAGGAGGAGAAGAAACCAATTCCAGCAACCCTTAATCTTAGTTGATGAATTCCAGTTGGCACAGTTCAGAAGACATATTAAAATGCACCGGTGAAACACGGAGCAGCTCTCTGCCTAGGAAGGACTGCTCAAGTCCATAGAATAAAGGAGAGGGGCCTTGGGGACCCCAGGAGGGACTGGGCAGTGTGCTGTGAAGGGGTGGGTGGGGATGAGGTTTAGACACAGGAACTATAAAGGGAGGAGGCAGCTGGGAGACACCAGCAGTCAGATCCTGAAGGCAGAACCCATCCAGCCCCCTCCCCCCCGGGGGGGGAGGTCCTGGTGCAGAGCTCTTCCGCCCTCCAAAAAGTCTTGAGCAGCTGCACCAGAGGCCTGACTGGCCGCCGCCCCCCCCCCCCCCCCCCCAACTCCCCTTCCGCAGATGAACCTCCTCCTGCGTGAATACTTGCTTTCCGGAGAGGTGTCCGAGGCCGAGCGCTGCCTGCGCCAACTCGAGGTGCCCCACTTCCACCATGAGCTTGTCTATGAGGTAAAGAAGGAAGGGGGGGCAGGAGCTCTGCTGGAGCTGGTGGGGAGGGAACAGGCCCACAATCGGGCTTGCCAGGCCCAGGACAGGGAGCTCTGGCCCCCTTGGCATGCCGGGCCTGTTTTGCTGCCCTCGGGAACCCCTGCCTTGCTCACTCTCGCTGGGTGCTCATGCTGCTTCTCTCCCCCCCCCCCCCCCCCCCCGGGGTGTTTGTGCCAGGCTGTGGTGATGGTGATGGAGTCTTCGGGAGATACGGCTGTTGCCATGATGGTGAAGCTGCTGAAAGTGCTGTGGCAGACGGGGCTGGTGACCTTGGATCAGATGAACCGGGTAAGGCCCGGAGGGGCTCCACCCTACGGGGCCATAGAGGGAGCCGGCATTGGCTCCTGCCTGCAGCAAGCGCCTCCCCCCCCACACACACTTCCCTCTCTCTCCCTCCCTCCCTCTATCAGGGCTTCCAGCGGGTCTACGATGAGCTTGGAGACATCAGTTTGGACGTGCCGCTGGCCCACAGCATTCTCGAGCGGATGGTGGACCTCTGCTTCGAGGAGGGTGTCATCACCAGGCAGCTGAGAGAGACCTGCCCTGCCCGGTAGGTCCCACCCAAGTGGGTGGGTGGGGAGACGACGACACCTTGTTGGCTTCAGGGAAGGACTGACCTCCCCCACCCGCACCCCAGATGGCTGCCTGGCCTGTTTTAGAAAGGCGTTGTGTCCAGAGGTTCCTCTTTGAGGGCTGTTCCTTTGAGGGCCCAAGAGGCAGCAGGTTGGGACGGGAGGATCAGGTGGTCTATACCAGTGGTCACCAACCGGTGGGTTGCGGCCCATTGGTGGTCCGTGAGAAAATGTTGGTGGTCCACAGAGAAATGTCACCCCCAAAGCAATTAACCCAGGCTGCGGAGGAACACAAGGCTGCGCTGCCCACATGGCCTGCGGGAACACAAGGCTTGTATCGCTTGCATTAGGAAAACACGAGGTAGTGAGGGGAGCGGGGAAAGAGCAGAGGGGGGTGGGAACTTGCCTGGCCACTGGGTTGTTACTTCTGCTTCTTTCTTCTTCTGCTTTTGGCTGCATGCAAAGGCATCCTGCTCCCAGAGGCTGCGCACAGACTCCTTTCTGGTGGAGTTTGGGGGGGGAGAGAAAGAAAAACTGCTGCTGCTTCTGCTGCTTTCCTTGCATGAAGACAGAAGTCTCCCCCCCCCCCCCCCAAAAAAAAAAACAGAGCTCAAAAGCAGGCTAGGAATGTGGCTGCCTTGGAGGGGATGGGTGTGTGTGTGAAAGGGGTGTGTATGTGTGTGTGTGTGAGAGAGAGAGATCTCCCTCACACTCCCACCAACATCAGCAAGCCACGTTAGTCAAAATTCACATTAGTGGTCTGCGGGATTTAAAATAATGAGTTTGATGGTCCCTGAGGTCCAAAAGTTTGGCAACCCCTGGCCTATACAAACAGCCCCCAGGGACATGCTGGTCATCCTACCCTGCCTCTAACTCCCCTCCTCCTCCTCAGGGGCCGGAAGCGCTTTGTCAGTGAAGGAGACGGCGGCCAAATCAAGCAATAACTGGAAGCTTTCAGCACCCCCCCTACTGCTCCCCCCCTCCCCAGCAATGCCTTCAACCCAGTCAGACCTGCCAGTCAACAGAGGAGCCCAGAAACCTTTGCTGAGCACCCACCATTCCCTTCCCCACCCCCGAACAGCGTGTCCATGCGGGCGGTCGGTCGAGCTTAATCGGGGAGGCGAGCTGGGGAGCCTGCACTTTGCCTGACAGATGGGGGGCCGATAGTTCGGTAGAAGGGGGAGAATTCTCCTGCAGGGCACCAGCGATGCATCTCAGGAAGCCTCAGGCTAGCTGGAACTGCTGCAGTGGTTAATGGTGGGGCTGTTTGGACCTGCTGGGCAGCAGGGCTGAGGAGGCAAGAGGACGGGCACCTCTCTCACAGCCTCTGGCTAGCGCAGACCAGTCGGTTCCTGCCCTGTGCAGCTAGTTCCAAGGTACTGTGGGGAAGGAAGTCAGCTGGACTCCCTGCAGCCAAAGAACCTCCTGATCCCAGGACCCCTTGAAGCCCCGATGCCACCCACAGATGCAGGCGGGGTGTGGTGGTGGTGGCTGGGTTTGAGGGCTGAGGGAGTAGCAGCTGAGCAGCGCAGGGCTAATTCTTCCTGAGTTAAAGAGGGGAGCTGCTTCTGCTTGGCGCTGCCCACGACTGGTGGAGAGGCCGAGCAAGTGGACATCGTCCTGGGAGGGAATTGTGCCAAACTGCTTAGTGGTCTTGCAGGCAAAGGTGGTAGGGACGGGTGAGTCTAATGGGAAATGAAAAATAAATGATTTTACTCAAAAGGACTCCGGCTTCTTGTCTCCTGCTGCAAACAGCACGGCTATTTGGTCATTTGTTTTTGTTTTTTGGAAGTAAGAGTGGCATCTGGCTCGCAAAAACACGAGTGTAGAGTGTCTTATGAAGAACAACCCCCCCACCCCCAAACGAACAGGATTCAATGTGCAGCTGGAACTCCTGAATAGATTCAAAGGAAGAGCTGTTTTCACATGAGATGCTCAATTGTGAAATTATAGATTTAAAACGAGGGTCTTCAAACTTGGCAGCTTTAAGACTTGTGGACTTCAACTCCCAGAATTCCTGAGCTATCCAAGTCTTCAACCCCCTGGTCAAGGCAGGAGCCTTAAACCATCGTGGTCATACCAGTCTATTTTTTGAAGACCACGTTCTGTGATTGTTGCTCAGGTACTGGATGATAGTCATGTCTCTCCCTACTCCTTTTCAATAGGCTAACCCAGGAATGTCCAACCTTGGGAGACTTAAGACTTGTGGACTTCAACTCCCAGAATTCTTCAGCCAGCTGGCTGAGGAACTCTGGGAGTTGAAGTCCACAAGTCTTAAAAGTTGCCAAGGTTGGAGACCCCTGGGCTACACATAACCCAGTTCCTTCAACCATTCATACAATTTAGCCTCTAGCCCCATTATCATCTTCCTTGCTCTTCTCTGCATGCTTTCTCGGCGGGTCTCTTTTTTTTTTTTGTATTGTGACCAGAACTATCACCATTGTGATATAAAGCAGTATGAGATTTTGACAGAATAATAAAGGACCTTTGAGGTCCAATCCAACTCCCTGCTCAAATAGGAGACCTTATGCCATTTCGGTCCAATCTCTTCTTAAAACCCTCCAGTGTTGGAGAAGGCCCAGCTTCTGGAAGCAAGCCGTTCCACTGATCGTTTTCACAGGTAGTTGCTAATTTCTCCTTGATTAGTTTCCATCTGTTGCTTTCTGTTCTGTGCTCGGCTGTTTCATAGAATAGGTTGACTTCCTTTTTTTGTGGTTCCTTAAATATTGGAAGACTGCTATCATTTGTCTGAAATGGTTCTGCTTGAGCAGAGGGTTGGACTAGAGGACCTCCAAGGTCCCTTCCAAATCTGTCATTTCCCTGGTTGACTGATTTAGTCGCTTTGTCAAAGAGGCGGCGATAAGATTCGCCTCTTTTTACATCATGAGGAGAAAACGGGGGAGGATCGTCCTCAAGAAAGGCAGGGCCGCTCTCGGAACAAGCCGCCTTCGCCTCCTAAGCAACAGCCGGAGGAGGAGAGGCGCCGCCCTGCGAGGCCAAAGCGGAGTCGCTTCGCTCCCGATTAAGGCGGATGCCCGGGCGCAGCCTCGCCTTCCCAGCTCTCCCCCATTGGGGTCAGCCGGCTGTCCGTCTCGAGCGCCGGTTGCTCCTCCGGCCTGAAGAGCACAGCCGGCGGGCCCGATCTTGCGCACAAATAGGCTCCACCCCTTTCCCTGCGGGGGCGGGACCACGCCCCGAGCGGCAGGTACTCGCCTTCCCAGAGCGCCCCGGGGCGCTGAAGGCGGCGCGGGGCCTGCCGGGAAAGGCTCCCGGGACACGTTGGTGGCCGGTCGCCTGGCCGGGGAGCACGAGGACGGATGGCGCGCGAGCGGCGGCGGCGGCCGGGCCCGGAGGGCGGGCGGGCGCAGGAGAGGGTCCCGCGCGGGGCCGGGGGGCAGCGGGAGCGGACGGGGGCGGGCGCGGGGCCGGCGCTGCTGGCGCTGCCGGCGGTGGTGCTGCTGCTGTTGACTCTTGGCTGGGGCTTTTACGCCCGGTGGGGGCCCGCCGCGCGCCTCGTGGCCCCGCACGCCGCGCCCCGCGCCCTCCCTCCGGGCAGCACCGGCCCCGACGCCGCGCCCGACCGCTTCTGGGGCTCCTACCGGCCCCAGGTCTACTTCGGCATGAAGACGCGCAGCCCGCGCTCGCCGGTGGTCGGTAAGGGAGCGTCGCCCGCCCGGGGCTGTGGCGGGGTGGCGTGGGGGGGGGGGGGGGGATGCTGGGGAGAGGCCTCCGAGCGGCTGCCCGCCCCGCTTGCTGCTGCCGGGCGTCAGTTGTGTGGGTCCTTCCCGCAACAGGGTTGATGTGGCTGCATCAGCTGGAGGGGGACGTGCGGCTGCGGCACACCTGCGAGCAGAGCGACGGCCTCCCTCGCTACGGCTGGCTGCTTCACGACGGCGCCCATTTCGGGGTGCAGGAGATCCAAGACCTGGGCTTCAGCCTGCAGACGGAGATGGTCAAGCGTCCCGGCGGGGAGCATGGCGGAGACTGGAGCTGGAGGGTGACGGTTCGCCCAGAAGTGAGTGGGGGAGAAAGAGGGGCCCGCTTTCCTTAGTGCAGGGGTCCCCAGACATGGCCGCTTTAAGACAAAGCGAAGCACTTTAAGCAAAGCTGGCTGGAGAATTCTGGGAGTTGAAGTCCACGCGTCTTAACGTGGCCAAGTTTGGACATCCCTGCCTTAGTGAAACTTGTTCCTTGTGATGGTGCATCTGTTCCACTCCCTTACTGGTGGGACAAGGTTGCGTGGCCTTCGGGCTGCTTGACTGAGCAACGTGGCTGCCCTGCCAGGTCAAGTTTGGAAGTTCAGCTTGCAGCCTCTGGGGACTGGAAAGGGTTTTGTGTGACCTCCGATTCCCCCCCCCCCCCCCCCCCAATTATGGCAAGTTTTGTCCTCGTTGTGACAAAAAGAAGCAAATAAAGGCTGTTTACTCTTTCTCTCCCTCCCTCTCTCCGTCCCTCCCTCTGCGGTTGAGTTACAACCACAGCTGTAGGGAAGCAAGACGTTAACGGGTGTTGTCTTGTTCCCTTGTGTCATCTTTGCGCATTTAGAGGACGCAGCCCAAGCCCCCCTTCGTTTCTCTCTTTTTCTACGTGGCCACCGATGGGCAAGGAACGCTGCAGCCTGTGATAGAGGAAAAGAGCCGGCTGGCGTTGCTAAGAGGATGGACGGAAGAACTGGGGAACTTCACTGTGACCTTCCAGCCGCCCACCACGGAGGCCGGCACCCCGCTTTATGCCAGGTACGGAACATTGCCACTCAGGAAGCGAGGGGGCAGAGTCTGGCACACAGGTTTCCCACACCCTTCTCTCTCCCGCTAGGTACAATCACCTGCAGGCGAGGGCGGAAGGGCTGCATCACCTGACTGACGTGGTGAAATCGAGCCTGAGCCCGCGGTTTTCCTACGCTCCCCCTGGGCTCCCCAAGCGCCACTACTTTGGCCTGGACGTCTACCACGGCCGAGCGGGGGACAGAGAGTTACGCAGCCAGCTCCTAGTCCACCAGGTGACGGTGGCTGTGCCCTGCCGTGTGGAAGTGGCTTTTGAGTCAGGCAGTGTGCCTGACCGCCCAGACCGGCTCCTGGCAGACACGCTGACGCGAGAGCTGGACAAACACGCGGCTGCCTTCAAGCGGCGCTTTGAGGAGACCTTCGGCCTCTCCCGCAAGGGCTTCTCTGGCCAGGAGCAGCACTTCGCCCGGGCTCTTCTCAGCAACATGCTGGGTGGGATGGGCTACTTCTATGGACGCTCGCTGGTGCAGTCCCCGCACACGGAGGCCCCCCAGCTGTACCCCGCGGGTGCTCTCTTCACAGCCGTGCCCTCCCGCTCCTTCTTTCCCCGGGGCTTCCTGTGGGATGAAGGCTTCCACCAGCTCCTCCTGGCCCGCTGGGACCCGGCCCTGAGCCAGGAGGTGATGGCTCACTGGTTCGACCTCATGAACGTCGAGGGATGGATTCCGCGGGAGCAGATCCTGGGGGACGAAGCCCTGGCAAAGGTGCCCCCGGAGTTTGTGGTGCAGCACAGCCAGGCGGGCAACCCACCCACTTTCTTCTTAGTGCTGCAGCAGCTGCTGGGGCAAGGGGCAGTGGGGCAGGATTACCTCCGCCGCATTTATGCTCGCCTGCAAAGCTGGTATGGCTGGTACAATCGCACGCAGGCGGGAGCCTTGCCCTACACCTTCCGATGGCGTGGCCGGGACCAGGACACTCAGCTTTTCCTGAATCCTAAAACCTTGACCTCTGGCCTGGACGACTATCCCAGGGCCTCCCACCCCTCGGAGGAGGAGCGCCACCTGGATTTGCGCTGTTGGATGGCCGTCGCCTCTGCCGTGATGGCTGAGGTGGCCACACGAGTGGGAGAACCAGGGAGCGACTACGCGCACATGGCCAAGAGGCTGGCGGACAGCGAACTGCTGGAGCGGCACCACTGGTCGGAGGCAATGGGTGCTTTTGCCGACTACGGCAACCACACCCAGGCTGTGGCCCTGGAGCGCGAGCACCTTCGGCCCGCTCCTGGCCAGCCCCCGCCCATTCCAAGGCTGGTACGGGTGGTCCGCAAGTTGCCGCGGTTGCAGTTTGTGGGAGGGGCCCTCGGCTACGTGAGCCTCTTCCCGCTGCTGCTGCAGCTCCTGCCCCCCGATTCCCGGCAGCTGGGCAGCCTCCTGGCGGACATGAAGAACGAGCAGAAGCTGTGGACGCCCTTTGGCTTGCGTTCCCTGTCGCGCAGCAGCCCCTTCTACCTCAAGCGCAACACGGAGCACGACCCCCCTTACTGGAGGGGGGCCATCTGGATCAACATGAACTACCTCGCCGTGCGGGCGTTGCATCACTACAGCCGAGTGGAGGGGCCCTACCGGGAGGAGGTAGCCAGGCTGTACCACGAGCTGCGCGCCAACGTGGTAGGCAACGTTCTCCGACAGTACCTGCACTCTGGCTACGTTTGGGAGCAGTATAACGACAGCACGGGCCGAGGGCAAGGGTGCTACCCCTTCACGGGCTGGTCAGCTCTGGTGGTGCTCATGATGGCTGAAGAATACTGATTGGCCCGCTGATGCTCCCGTCTCCCTGGGAGGCTCAGCTGCAGGATCCTGACAAAGGGACGCAGGCGTTGACCTTTTCCCCCTGCCCTGCTTCACACTCGACTCGGGGAGGTGGGCAGTGCCTGAATGTAAGAAATTTTCTACTGAAATAAAGCCGAGGAGCTTAAAATCTTTTGGAAACCTGGGCAGCAAAGGCATCCCTAGTTTTGGGACGGCTGGACAGGAGGGGGGGGAGGGCCCTTTAGAAATGGGGGGGGGGTGTTTTACCGCCCCCACCAAAGGAGATAAAAACCCCTTCAGTGTAAAAGCCGCTCTTCCATAGAATCTCTCAAGCGCATAAAGCACAACTCACCGATTGTGGCACAGTCTAGCTGGCACTTTGAGAGGAGGGGAAAGGCAAGACTTGGGAGAAGCCCCATCCTGGGAGAAGGGAAGGTTTAAACCGATGACCATGTCAAAGATGCTTAAACTGGGCCAAGGGCCAGGGTGTGCTGACTGACGCATTTAACCCAGCTCAGGCCGGTGGCCTGCTTCCCCCGCCAGGTGAAAGGAACAGTCTCCATGGCCAGTTTAGAGCAGCTTCACTTGATGGGTGAACCTGGCAGGAAGATCTGCACAGCGGCTGGATGTTACATTGGTTTAGTGGTTCCCAAAGTGAGTGGTACCACCCCCAGGGGGCGGTGGGATGCCTTAGGGGGGGAGCTAAGAGGTAAGGGGGGCGTTCGAGGCGTTGCCCCTGCAGGTTCACCCATTGACTATAGCACCACTCGAGCCAGCACCTCCAATGCAGAAGCGGTGGCACATTACGTGCTGCAGCGGCCGCATTCAACACGCTGCCCCACTGCCACCCCTTAGCATCCCCAAGGGGGCTGGCAGAGGGGCACTAAGAGGCGGCAGGGGGGCATTTGAGGTTCACCCATTGAGATGCTGGCTCTGGAGTTGATGTTTCCGGATGTGCCTGCGGGGCCGGGGCCTCGAACGCAGCGGCGGTGGCACGCCTTTGCTCTACTTTTCCAAGGCTGCACCGCTGCCTACCCTGGGCTTCCTCAACCCTGCCCTGTACTGGCTCCAGGAAGCAGGGAACAGCACCACCCTCTATGACGTGAGGGCCCTGGGCGGGGGGCACTTGAGAGGCTGATCCCTAGCAGGAGGGGCAGCCTGTGAACTTGCTGTCAGGCACGGCAACTACAAAGAGGGGAGAGCTTGGTTGATCGGGATCCTGGATATTGGGCATGTGGTCAAAGCCTTCTTACCTATCTACCTACCTATCCATCCATACATAGATATTGGTAGGTAGATATATTGGTAAGTAGGCAGGTAGGAAGATAGATGGATTGATGTATATTACCTACCTACCAATATATCCATCTATCCAAAAGGTCGGTCGGTCTGTCTGTCTTCCTGCCTACCTACCTACCAATATATCTACCTACCTATCTGTCTCTATCTATCCATCCATGTTCAAGGCACCAGCTCCACAGGCACATCAGGAAAGTACAGCAAAGCCAGTCTGGGAGGGAGAGAGAGAGACCTGATGCATCAGATTGAAATGTGGCCTAGCTTAGACTGAGGCCCTTTTACACATTGAAACATCTTTGCCAGCACACTGAAACATCTTTGGCTTCTATTAAAGGTTTTGTGGACAAAACACGGTCAAGACTATCAGGAAGCTCTCACATTTTGTTGAGGCTTTAAGCAGGATCCATTGGACCAGACCTCCATCCTAAAAAATTACTTTTTCCCAATGAATTATAGTGCCAATTCTGAAGAAGGCAAAACCAAAATATACTGGTAAATTACAAGGAGAACACACACACTCCCTCCTAACCCTACTGGGGCAGGTGACTGGACTAGAATAGATATCTTTCTCCTCCCTCCCTCCTTCTTTATTTCTTTCTCTTTCTGTCCCTTCCATCTCCCCCTCTTTCTTTGTTCCTTTTTCTTTCCTTTTTCTTTTTTTCCTTCTCTTTCTCCCTCTCTTTTTCTCTCTCTCTCTTTCCCTCTCTCAGGCTCACCCCATTGACTTGGTGCACTGCTCTGCTCGGACTTGCTTGGGCAGGTCGATCCAGTGCAGCGGGCTCAATGGGGTGGACCTGCGGGGCTGGCACCTAGAACATGGCAGTGCCGGCATGTTTGAAAAGTAGAGCAAAGCCAGAGGTCTGTAATTTTTGCTGCAAAGAATCACAAAAGCTGGGCTGTGCACAAGAAGGGACACACGTCAATGCAATTCAGCAACATAAAATAAATACAAATGAATCAATAAGAATCAGCAAAGCATCTCTGATTCGATTTTATTCGCTACTAGAATCTAATCAGAGATGTTTTGCCGATTCTAGTCCAATGACCTGCTCCAGCAGGGTTGGAAGGGAGTGTGTGTGTGTGTGTGTGTGCACGCGCGTTTGTCAAAACTCCCAAAACAGGTCAAGTAGCTCTGGGAAGGCCAGTCGTAAATTAGAACACTTGCCAAACAACCGGCCATTAAGTGAGGACCACTTGTATTTGGTTTCCCAGTCACCTGGTCACACCCACCAAACCACACCTATTTGGTCATGTGACCAAGCTACACCCAGCCAGTCATGTGATCACCAAGCCACACCCTCAAATTAGGCCATACCCACAGAAATTTGAATCCCACCCCTGGGTGGGGGGCAGAGAGGATGAGTGTGTAGCACCACGGGGGGGGGGGGGGGGGGGGTTGAAAAAGTTTGGGAACTACTGCATTGGTTCCCTCCCCCCACCGCACAATGGAAAGGGCCTCCAAGAGTCAGGATTTTCCTTGTCTTGTTTAATAAGAAGCACACAGTGCGACCAGGCTCCTGTAGGACACTGGCCAACAGGAAGGCCAGCTCCCCGCTCCCAGGGCAGAATCGGTGTTGGCCACAGCCATCTCTCCATGCAACCAGCAAACCCCAATGCGACCTGGAAATGGGGAGGGGCTTCACCTACTACGCCATGCCTTACATCAAAGCTGGAGCACAGCAGGAACCACACACACACACACACACACACACACACACACACACACAGAGCTATCACTATAGTTAAGATCCAGCACGTAGCTCCCCTCTCTGCCAGCAAGGGCTCTGGGTTCCTGTCCCCAGAAAGCTCCCAAGGCAGCACTAAGGGGGGAGCGGAAATGGCAGAGCGGGAGAGGATGAAGCAGGTGTCCGTCTGTCCATCTGGGCAGGGAAGTGAGGATAAGGCGCAACTCTCCACAGTGAACCAAAGGCAGCTCAGTCTTCCAGGTGGCTGGGGCAGCCGAGCACAAGAGGCCCCGGTTCAGACAGGCAACGTTGGTGAGGAGGCCAGTTCCTCGGTGGCCCCTTCAGAGGGCTCCCCCTGCTGCCTGCAGGCCGCCCCTTTGCCAAGCAAACGGGTCCCCCCCTCCTCCTCACTCGCAGCTTCTTCCTCATCCTGGCCTCGGCCCACCTCGATCCCGGAGTCCCCCGTCAGGCGCCGGTGCCGCGCGTTTTCTTCCCGGGCATAGGGCTCCTCCTCCTCCGAGAGGCGCTGGAAGTCGCTTTCGAAGAGCTCCACGTCGTGGGAGGAGAAGAGGGCGCTCTTGGAGGAGGCGGCCGGGAGCTCCCAGCTATCCCCCGCGGGGCCTCCTCCACCACCACCACCACCCTCGGCCTCCGCTTCGCTGGGGCTGCTGGACTCGGTGGCCGACAGGGAGGTGCTGCCAGGGGAGGTCAGGCAGCTGGACTCGCAGGAGCAGCTGGTGCAGTTCTCCGAGCTGCCGCTCAGCGTGAAGGTGCTGGAGCCCCCGAGGAGGGCGGCGGTGGCAGAGGCGCTGTAGGGGGGCGGTGGGGTGGCGGGGCGCTGGGCCACCTCCTCGTAGGCCGGCAGCTTGAAGGAAGCCAGCATCCCTGCAAGGAAGGAAAGGCGCGGAGCTCAGGGCCGGGCCTGGGGTGGGCTGGGAGTGTCGCTCGGCCCACCCCTCCTGGGCTCGGAGGCCGCCACTCACGGAGCTCCCCCGCGGAGGGCGGGTAGTTGCAGGCACCGTGGTAGGCAATGAGGTTGATCTCGCGCTGCCGCTGCTGCTGCTGCAGGCGCAACTTGGCGCGGCGGTGCCGGTAGGCGCAGCAACAGCTGAACAGGATCAGGACCGTCCAGAGCAGCCAGAACCCTGCGGGGGGGGGGAGGGGGGAGAGACGGGCGGTGAGACGGGAGCAGAGAGGAGGCCGCCGCCCCCGCCCCGCCCCGCCCCGCCCCGTCCCGCTTACACCAGAGCTCGTAGTAGTAGATGCAGCAGCCGGTCTCGCCGCAGCAGTGGCCCGTCTCGCACACGTACGGCTGGCTCTTCACGCCGGGACAGAGCTCGCGGGCCTGCCGGGACACAGCAGCATCGTCAGCCCGCCCCGCCTCCCCCGCTCTCCCGCCGCCGCTGCGCCTCACCTGACGCTCGCGGCCCAGCAGCGCCGCCGCGCCCCACCCGGACTGCGCCTGCCTGCCCGACGGAGGCGGCCGCGGCGCTTCCATGGCGGCCCTACGGCAGGCCCGGGCACCGCCTCGCCTCCATCCCGCCCCGCCGCCTCCTCCTCCCCGCTCCCCTCGCCCCCCAGGTGGCCGCCGCCAATGCTGCCGCCGCCGCCGCCATAGCTCCCGGCGCGGCTCCCGCCCCTCCGCCGCCGCCACCAATGGGCTTCTCCCGCGGGGCTGGTCCCCAATCAGCTGCGCAGCGACCTGGCCCGGCAGCCAATCAGGCGCCGTCTTCGACCCTAACAACAGCAGACAAAGCGGAGGGCCCGCCCCGCGGACTGCTGATTCCCCCCCCCCCCCCAGCACCACTCAACCGTCTCCGCGAATTGGGCTGGGCCAGGAAGATTGACCCTCGCGACCTCTTGTGGACCAATAGGAAGGGACGAATTAAAAAAAAAAAAAGAGGAAGACGCAGGCAGCCCGGTAATGGGAGGGAGAAAGCAAGACTTCCGTCTAGCACCACTTCCGGCCCTCTGGCTGGGGCCTCTTGTCAGCCTTGGTGGGCGAACAGTCCCAGCAAGCAAGTTCTCCCTCAAGCAGCGCGGGGCATTATGGGGATCGGCAGTGCCTTAAACCAGGGGCCTCCAACCTCGGCAACTTCCCAGCAAAGCTGGCTGAGGAACTCTGGGAGTTGAAGTCCACAAGTCTTAAAAAGTTGCCAAAGTTGGAGAATCCTGCCTTAAATTGCTCTTGGAAACCAAGGGGCAGCGGACCAACAGTGTGGCAAGGTGGGCTCCTGTTCCTGCAGTCGAGGTTCCCAGAGAAGGAGAAGGTGATCAAGAGCAAGTGAGGCCACCACCACTCCAGGTGCCTTGGACGTCCGTCTCTTGTTCCAGGAATGGCCACAATCCACACCCAAGGAAGCTGGGACGAAGCCCTTCTGACCAGAGCACCTAATTATGCCAGCAGCACCAGCCATAAGGGTACCACATTGGGGGGGGGGGGCACATAAACCTATTGAGACAAAGTTGTGCTGTTGCAGATGTTGTAAACCTTACACGGTTTCAGCCTGAACCCCCAAACACACACAGCTGCCCTTTGGTCAGAATGCATAAACAGTTGTCATTGGACTTCAGGTGACCCACTTCTCAATCCCATGGATTGCTTCATTGTCCCCAGTTCTGGGCAACAGTTCAAGGTGGGGATTAAGACATGGGGCACCCCGAGCTCAACCTTTCCTTCCCCATAAGCACTCTTTGGCATCTTCACGGGCAACCCAGAACACCACGCTAACAGCACCCAGAGGGCTGAGAGTCCTTGTTCAAAGCCCCTCACAAGACAGAAACCAGTACGTGGGTGCACAGATCCTGGCCAGTCGCAGGGATCCTAGGCTAAGGGGCTGGGCAGTACCAAAGGAAAGCAGATGGCCCTGCAGCTACGGCCATCGGTAGCTTCTCTGAAATCACTTGCCAAAATCTCCTCTGAATCTTCCCAGTTTCTCCTTGGAGAGCTCCCTGTCAGTAGGAAAAACTGAGGAAGGAACCAGGAGGCCATCTGGGCTTCTCAAGTTAGTTTCAGGGTATCTTTAATGTCGACAATAAATCAATTTTCCTGCTACCAGCCACTTTTCTCTGCATCCTGTACAAATGAAAAAGAGTACTACTGCCTCCATCCGTCTTGAGAAGCAGCAGCCCCCAGAAAGGCAAGAAACAATGCCAGTCACCGCTGCCACCATCTCCCGAGTCCACACACACGCACACACACACAATATGGTCCTGCTCTCTCCTCCCCATGCAGGGGGAACTTTCCATTTTCCACACAGTCACTGCGGCAAGAGATGTCCAAGGGGCTCGCACTGTACACAGCCAGAGATGTGCTTCTTGCTGAACCAGCCGCTGCTGCTGAACAGATACCAAGGCTGTTTGGACACCCACCTCAGACACCTGGGAACAGGGCTGGGACGCCTCTTCCAGACCACAGAGGCCTTCAGGGTGACCGCTGGGCACCGACTATCCACCAGCGTGACTATGCCGGCACCTCCTGAAGCAGCAGGTTCTTTTTGTAACAATCCAGGCTACAAAGGGGGGTCCCAGTGCGGGAACAGGAGTACCGCTTGAGGTTGGGGCAGCCAATGACCCCACATGGCATGGTGGGCGGCACTACCCTCGGGAGGGAGGGCAACACAGGCAGGGAAGTCCCGGGCGGGAAGGAGATGGTGACCCCAGAGGCAGCACTGCGGTAGCTCACTGTGGGGACTGCCGTGCTTTTGGCCTTGCGCTCGCGCAGCGTCTTCACTTTGGCCTTGCTGGTCTTGGTGAGGCGCTCGATGGTTTGATTCTTGTTCTCCTCGGCCTTTTTGGCAGCCTGGAGCCGCCGCTTACGAGCCCGTTCTTCTCGCTTCACCAGCATCTCCTCTGTCAGCTCCTTGGCCTTGTATCCCATGGGCAGCTCCAGCAAGGGCTGACTCTGCTGTTTGTGCAAGAGGGCTTTCTGCGGACAGGAAGAGGAGAAGGGACGGCTGACAACACCCATCTAGATGCAGAGGCAAGGGGAAAGCCTCAGTGCCTTGTGGCACCACCAGCAGCCAGGAGGCACCAGAGAAATTATGCCATCCCGACAAAGGGCCTCCCCAAAATCATCTTGAGACAGTAGAGGTCCTCCTTGGCTACTCACCCTACATCCTCCTCTCTGGTCCCAACCCAGATTGGATGCCCTCTCTGCTCAACTAGCAACTAGGATCGTGGGGCTGAGGACGGGGTGTTATAGATCAAATGTGGACAGGAAGGTTCTAAAGTTTAGAAGGAAGGAGGCTGACTTCCCACCTGGCTTGGCTGAAGAAAAACCACCTGCCTGGCTGCTAGGAGGCAGAGGGGGACATGCAGCAGAGTAAAGTAGCTGGGGACCCCTAAGATCCTCTTTCCTTCCCCCACCTGAGTTCACTGATGCTACCCTGGATAAAGGGTCACTTCGTTGCCAGTGGTCTACAAGAAATCCCTGCATTAGGCCTAGTTCCCCACCTGCCGGGCAGTGAGCAGGGACTCGTCCACCTCTTTTTTCAATTCCCCATTGTCATCCAGCTCCCCCCGCTCCAGGGCATCCAGCCACCGCTGCTCCTCTTCTTCCTCACGTGCTGGGAAGCCCATTTCTGGATCAAGTTCTGGCAACGGGGACGGCTCCAGGTTGCTGTCTTCATCTGCGGAGAGAAGAGGATTCGCCTTGAGTCTGGCCAGGGAAGTGGAACATCTCCTTTGCTGATGCTAATTCGTATGTTGGCATCCAATTCAGAATTTGCAGGATGACTGCCAAAGAACAAGGAGATGCCAGCAAAACCTTTGAGAAAGTTTATTAAGAAAATAACAGCATCAGTGATTCATCGTCAATCAGCTGCAATGAGCAATAACAACCTCTGGAATTCTACTCTAAAAGGGGCTGTTTTCATTGGGCAAATTGTATAGCCCTTCAATCTCTCTCCCCCCTTTCAACCCTCAAAGTTGATTGGTTTTAGGTGTTAGCAAACAATGGCCACATCCTAGCACAAGGATCTTCAAACTTGACAGCTTTAAGACTTTGTGGATTTCAACTCCCAGAATTCCTGAGCTAACATGACTAGAGGGGGAATTCTGGGAGTTGAAGTCCACAAGTCTTAAAGCTGTCAAGTTTGAAGACCCCTGTTCTAGCAGGTCTTGGGCACCTGCTAGGATAAGAGAGGGAAATAATTGTGTGACTGGGGTTAGACCTGGAAGCTTCTCTGGCGCCTCTCCAGAGCCCTAAAAACAGACTTTTTAACACCGAAGGGACCATCGGCCCACCCAAAGGGAGGTTCTTAAATACTGCTTACTGCTCAGGCCTGTGAGAGCCAGGCAGGGAAGGCTGAGAAAAGGACAGGGCCCAGCAGCTCACTGAGCAGGGAGCCCCAAAACTGGGTGGCTGGAGGGAAAGAAGGGAGCTGCTGCTTGTGCTCCTTTCCCACCCAAAGGAGAATTTTCAGAGCCGGTGCCGCTCACCCAGCCATGCCCGGTACTGCTCGATGGGCACGCCTTCCATGGGCTCCTCGTCGTCGTTTTCCCCCATCAGTGGGGAGGGGGACCGGGGCCTCTCGGGGATCACGCTGAAGGTTGGGACGCTGCAGGAAGAAGAGCAGGTGAGGCTTCAACCCGGCCCCGCGGGGTCCCTCCCTCCCTCAGTCCCCCGGCCACCGACCGGGACGTGGCGGCCGTCTCCAGCCGGGCACAAGGGGAGCCCAGCGCCCGCCTGCCTACCTCTTGGTGCCCAGGATCTGGCCGCCCAGCTTGATCTTGAGCTTCAGCTGCGGCTTGGGCAGGGCGGCCGCCTGGTCCAGGCCGGGCTCCTCCCGGTGGTGCCGCTTCTTGTGCTTCTTCTTGTGCTTCTTGTGCTTCTTCTTGTGGGCGCCGTGCCCGCCGGGATCTGCCGCCGCCTCCGCCTCGCCTGCCAAGAACGAGCCGCTCAGGTCCCCGCCAGGCAGCGCCGCCCCCGACCGACCGCCCCGCCGGGTCCCGCTTACCCCGCCGGCCGCCCTCCATCCCGCTGCCCGGGACTTCCGCGCGACGCCACGCCTTGCTCATCCTCGACCGCCGGCGGGAATGCCGCCGTTCTCCTTCCCGCCGGAAGCGGCCGGCCGGAAGGAACCGGAGCCGGAAGTTCCCCGGCAGACGGCCCCGCCCACCAGGACGGAAGGCAAAGGAGAGGCACGGCGCAGGCGCTTCAGTGGCCCTCGGCTGCGGATGGCGAGTGGTTGGGGCGGGCGGGTTCGCTTCAGCCCGTGAAGACGCTGGGCCAGCGGCTTCTGATGGGCAGCTCCCTCAGCTTCGCAGCTCCGGCCACTTCAAGTTGGGTTGGCCTTCAACTCCCAGAATCCCCAGCGAGCCTCGGGAGTCGAAGCCTGGAATCGCCGGAAAACGCCGATCGAGACGGCGGCCGGTGAGGGACCTAAGCGAGCAACCGCGCAGCGTCCGTGGCTTCTGCACGGGGCGGAGGGGGGAGTGTGAATCTTTCCCGTCCTCTGTCTAGCAGGACAGCGGGGCTCCCGGGGGTGGGGGGCAGGAAATCGGCCCCCAAAAACAGCTGCCAGCTCCTCGTCCCCACTAGGCGCTGCTCCGAGGGCCGCGCCTTGGTCCTCCGGCTGTCGAGCCTCTCGGCGCCCGTTCCCCCCAATTAGGCCTGCATAGAGTAGGAGTCTCCAACCTTGGCAACGTTAAGACTGGTGGACCTCAACTCCCAGAATTCTCCAGCCAGCTGGCTGGAGAATTCTGGGAGTTGAAGTCCATCAGTCTTAACGTTGCCAAGGTTGGAGACCTCTGGTGTAAACAACTCAGCTCTAAGGACTTGATGCTCTGGAGGGCCCCTTATCTACTTGACCAGCTTCTTCTGTCAAATGAGACTCGTTCCTTTTGAACATCCCTTTCGGGAGGTGCAAAAGGTCCATAGCCCCTTCGGTCCATTTCCAATGCAAGAGGAGCACAATATACATTGCACTCAGGAAATATTCACTTCCCGCTTCTGTCAATCTCAGTTACGCTGAAGCCTGATTCTACAGTCGTCGAAATTCAGTTTTTCCCCCTTGTTGATCTACACTCGGTACCCCATAATGACAAAGTGAAAACAGAATTTTTGAAATGTCTGTAAAGTTTATTAAAAAGAAGAAGAAATAAAAAACCCACCTGAAATATCACATTGGCATAAGTATTCGGACCCTTCACTCAGTTACTTTAGTTACTTTAGTTTACTTTATTGGCATTGCACCTCGTACAATGAAATTAAATACCATCTTCAGTGTACATGATGACTATGAAAATACACAAACACACATCCTTCACATTCTATACATTGAATTGAAAATCCCTGATATTGCATTAATATTGCACTATACAGTAGAATTCAAGAGAGCTACTGCCCTGGGATAGAAGCTGTTTTTCAGCCTATTTGCCTTTTTTTTTTTTATTCTGTACCGTCTGCCAGATGGTAATAGTTCAAAAAAGGGTGTCCAGGATGAGATGGATCTTTGAGGATGTTTTGAACTTTCTTAAGGCAGCGGGAGCGATAAAGCTCTTCCAAAGAGGAGAGAGAGCAACCCATGATCCTCTGGGAATTGTAGTCCACAAGTCTTAAAAGTTGCCAAGGTTAGAGACCCCTGATCTGGAGCTCTTCCTATCTGCCCCTGTGCAATTGGCAAACCATCCACAGGTGCAGTAAGTTAAGATACTCTCTATGGTGCAGTGGTAGAAGGTCACCAGCAGTTTTTCATTCAGTTGTTGTTTCCCTAGAAGTCTCAGGTCGTATAATCTCTGCTGGACTTGGCAGAAATTACAGCCTTGAATCTTTTGGGGTTGGATGCGACAAGCTTTGCACCCCTGGATTGGGGGATTTTCTTCCCTTCTTCCTTGCAAATCCTCTCAGTCAGATTGGATGGTGACTCTTGGTGGACAGCCATTTTCAGGTCCCTCCAGAGATGTCCGGTAGGGTTCAAGTCGGGGGGGGGGGGGGGGGGCTCTGGCTGGGCCACTCCAGGACATTGACAGTTGTCCCTAAGCCACTCCTGGGCTGTCTTGGCTGTGTGCTTACGATCGTTGTCATATTCAGAAGTGACCCTTTGGCCCACTCTGAGATCCTCAGCTCTGGGGGACAGGTTTTCATTGAGGCCATGCCTGTAGTTTGCTCCATTCAGCTTTCCCTCAACCCTGACCAGTCTCCCAGCCCCTGCAGCTGAAAAACACCCCCACAGTGTGATGCTGCCAACACCACACTTCACTGTTAGGATGACATTGGCAGGTGACGAGCAGCGCCTGGTTTCCTCAAGACATTGTTTAGAATTGAGGCCAAGCAGTTCAATCTTGGTTTCATCATCTTCGTAGTCTTGAGTCCTTCAAGTGCTTTTTCTGCAAACTTCAAGTGGCTTTTCATATATTTTGCACCGAGGAGAGGCTTCCCTCTAGCCGCTCTGCCACAAAGCCCAGATCGGTGGAGGGCTGCAGTGATGGTTGTCCTTCTGGAACTCTGTCCCATCTCCACACAGAATCTCTGGACCTCAGTCAGAGTGACCATCGGATTCTTGGTCACTTCTCTTACTAAGGCCCTTCTCCCCTGATTGCTCAGTTTGACTGGGCGACCAGTTCTTGGTTGCGCCAAACTTCATCTATTTAAGAATTATGTGCTCTTAGGAACCCTCAACGCAGCAGAAATTTTATGGCAGCCTTCCCCAAATCTGTGCTTTGCAATAATCCTGTCTCTGAGCCCTGCAGGCAGTTCCTCCAGCCCAATTTCTTTATGAACCCTGGTGTCTCTGCCTGAGCTTACCGAGAGGGCACCTAATGTGGCACTGCCGGGAGCAGGCCTGCCCAAGGGGAGGCCAGTGCTTAGGTGAGAATCCCATCATGTTTGGCTAGAGTGCAATTTTCTGCCATGAGACGTGGTCCTGCTGGCATTGATAGGCAGGCAGGGAGAACGTGCCCTTTGGAACACTAGGGTAGAGCAGAAGTCGGCACAAGGTGGGCTACCCTCCCCCCCTTCCTCCCAAATGCTCTTAGGAATGGGATCTGATTGCTCAAGAGATATTCGGAAATGGAGACTGAAATGGGCAGAGAGGAAGGTCAGAGCTGACTTGGCAAGTAAGCCGGCTTGCTAGTTAGGACTTACCCAGCAGCAGCCGGATGTCTCAGGCTGGGCTTCCCAAAGTATCCCAGTGGTGTTGCTCTTGCTTATTCGGATATTCTCTTATTGGCGATCCTGGAGGTGGATATAAGAAAATTCCCCATCAGGAATGACTGCCCACTGGTGGACACAGCTGTGGAAATTCTTGCCCGTGAAATTGTGTACTGTGGTGTCAACACACAGCTCTGTGATGTGCAAAATTCCAGATGCTCTAGATGGCATTTGTTCTGAGCAACGCGTCCGAGACTGTAATTAAGCACACACTTAGTTAAAACAACTCATTTTATTTCAACGCTGGGAATTATGTTCATTCCCAGCCTGTAATGAGCCCCAAACAGTCCCTCGAAATAAGCACCCACCTTTCTCTCCTTTGAATTGCTGCCAACAACTTAAGTGCCAAATGAACTTTAAAAAAACCAACCGAAGTACAAAGTCCACACAGAGCTTCAAGGATTGATCAGAGCAAACGACTTTGCTTCCTGCAAAGGTTTCTTCACCTTTGCCTGTCCTTTATATCTTATGGGAGGGGCAATCAGCTCCAAGCCTTATTCCTGAGTCGCCCCTTTTGTCTTAGCTGCTCTTGCCTTCTAGCAGCTCTGTGCACATGCGCACTGGGAACAGGCTCCCCTTGTTCCTCAGCCTCGCTGCTGCCAGACTCCGGAGGCTCTGGAGGTAGCACCCGACTCCCAGATGGTCCTGGCCCCATCTCTGCATCGGACGCAGGACCCTCGTCCGAGTCCTCTCCAGACTCCCAGACTGGTCCCCGTTCTTCCCCACTGTCCGATTCTGCTGCCGTCTGCACAGGCTGCCGGTGAACCACAACAGCATCCGTCTAAAATATTTTCTTGAAAATAAGGATTCAAAAATCACCTGGCAAATAGAAAGCATACTAACGGCATCTTGAATACAGAGGACCAAGATAGCAAGATTTTAGGATTTTAGGAAGGTGTTTATCAACAATGTAATAACATGTAATAAATATATTGAAAAGGTATAGATCTTCTCAATTAACAGGTCTTAATCGTAAAGTATTCCAGGACTTCACTTTTTAAAAATCTAGTAGAATATTAAAATAGTATTTAAGGACCTACGCATTTCAGTGAATCAAGCATTTTATAGATCCAGCATCTTACCATTCAATCGTTTTTTGATTCTTAACAGGTTTTGGCTATTTTTCTACTTCGAGTTGTCTTGTTTTATCATCTTACAGAAACTCTTTTTGTGTTTTGATGTAGATATGTTTTATTCATCACTGTTTGCTATAAGGTTGTCCGCTCATTCGTTCCCATAGTAGTAGGGTTGGAGTAGACAGATTCCGGCACTACGTGGCAAGCAGCTACACCTGCCTTTTCCTTGGGCACTGTCAAGGTAGGCATGCACAAAGGGAAACCAGGAGCATTTCTTGCTTACCTAGTTAGAAAAGAATTCTAGATTGTAGAAGATTAGTCTGAACAGACGTGGAAACACGGAAAAGAGACGCACGATCTGTTTTTACAATCTGTTTTTACTTCAGTGTTCACTTGCAACACGCCCCGATGCAAAAGAGGCAGCCCCAGAGTCATTTCCCTGCCAAGTGAAAATGCATGTTAAAACAAGCAGAATTCCAACTTCCTGAAGTCTGGGCTTTGTGCTCCGAGGTGCCCTCCCTGTTCCCCAGCTGGTGAAGCCCCCAGCTGGATTGTCTGAGGCCCGGCACCCTAGAATACAAAGCAGGCGTGTTATGAACCACACAATGGATCAAGGCAGTGCAGAAGGGCATAAGCAGCTGGAGAGGGGAGGGGGCATGAAAGGGCCTGGGTGAAGGTGCTTGGCCAAGAGGGGTCCGAGCCGGGACAGCTGCCCTCGTGGACAGTCCCAGGAATCGGTGACCAGGTTTAAGAGGAGCCAGTTCCTTCTGCTGCTGAGAAAGGCCCGGTGTTTGGCCTCTGTGCAGGGCACCTTTCTCTTTGTGAGAGGAAGGCCACTGGGTAACCATTCTGCCCTTTTTAATCTGAGCCAC